TTCGATGATGCCCTGGGACCAGTGACGACTGGTGACGACCGTGGATGGAAAACCATAGGAAAACCATAGGAAAATGGAGGTTTACCCTCTGATAATGGTGGTTTAATGGTGGTTTAATGGGATAAAAAACCAACAAAAATGGTGATTTTAATGGGATGTACCATCTGGTTATGTCAAAATAACTATTGAAAATGGTGATTTATAGTGGATTTTCCCATTGATAGCATGGTGATTTTCCATATAGTTATGTTAGTTTATCAGAGGGTAATATACAAGGTGGTGCCCCAGTTCGGAATCGCTAAGATGGTGCAAATGTTTTGTCCAATTTCACTATGGTTTTTGTTGATGATATATCGAAACCTACAACTGGAGGGGCACCACCTTGTATGTTGTATGTAGGAACTACCAAAAAGGTAGAACAGTAACAGGAACCACCACCTGAGTTTGGGGTTCTGTTTTTTCTATAATTTTGGATGTCGCTATGTATGTATATACATATCAGAGTGAGAGAGAGGGGAACAGAGAAAACATAGCATGTCAATGCATGTTAATGCCATATACCACACACACACACGCACACATATATATATATATATACAAATATCATATATATATATATATAAATAAAGCTATATGTACATACAAGTCATACAAGATCATACAAGTTCTTGTACAAACAAGAATCATGGGCTAGGGAGCCGGCCATAGTATCGACATTCCAGTTCCCGCATCCAGTGGCGACCGGTGGTCCCAACCTTCCACCCATCGCGCTCAACGGTTTCTTTGGCCATTGCAGCTGCTTCAGGGTTCCTGGGCGCCCACGATTCGCGGGGATGTGGGCTGACAATACCTGGATGATAGGGCAAGATGCTTGGTTTTGGGCTGAAACTTTGGGATATTCTTGGCTAAATATCATCTGTGCTTTGTTTGTGTAAGGGCCTTGAGGCTTTCAAAACTTGTGACGATAGATAGTTTCAGGCACACCACGACCAACATTGGTTGGTTTTGATTCAACGATAAGTCATGCCCATTCCTTTCTCGGGCCACGCTGGAGAGACAATTTCTGAAATCATTTCAGAGGGACCATGAGGGACCCCAAAGTTCCAAGCCTGATATCATCTGATACCCTCTGGTAAATTAACATAGACCCTGGCAGATAGGGGTTGGAAGACTAGTTTCCATTAAAACTAGGCTATTTTCACGGTCTATGTTAATTTACCAGGGGGTACTCATGGGCCAACCTGATCTGATCCGTTCCATGCAAGAAAAAATCACTGGAAGTTCCATGCACAGCCAACACCACTAACGGAAAAAAAATAGATTGGGACAGACGCACATCATCCCATCTGGTTGGTGGTATACCTACCCCTCTGAAAAATATGAGTTGGTCAGTTGTTCACCTTATTCCCAATATGGAAAGTCATAAAAGCCATGTTCCAAACACCAACCAGCCATGCTCTATGTAACTCTTGCAGTGTGTTATGTCAAAAAACAGGTCAATCAACCATGGCTGATATTGCTGCGATAGGTCCCCAACATCAATCCGCATATTTCGGCAACTCAACCGTGCGCAACCATTCGCTCTTCCCTATCGCCGTTAAACAATTGGAATTTATAGGTTAGCTGGTCAATAAAAGATACTTAGTCAAGATAACCAAAAACAAAAAAATATCAACCGTGATTTAACTAGTAACTGGCCCTTCACCTGACCCAACCCAGTTCCCTTCCCAGCGTCTTTTCAATGGCATAGACCTTCTTCGCCCCAGCTTTTGCAGCGATCACCGCCAGCAAAGCGAAGGGCCCCGTGCCGATATCCAGAACGCTGGCCTGGCCATGACGGTCAAATTCTGCTGAATGTTGGAGAGGTATAACCAGCCATGTGAAAAAACGTGGATATATATATTATATTATATTATATTATGTTATATTATATAATATTATATTATACTATATTATATACATATTATATATATGATATTATATTATATACATATTATATATATATGATATTATATTATATACATATTATATATATATATATATTATATATAATTACATACAATTATATACCATTATATATAATATGGTGCATATCATAAGTTTATCCAATGGGTATAAACCAACCATGTGGGATATATACAATGAGATGTTTTAGGGGATTTCAGCGATGGTACTTCATGTGAATCGTGGGCATGCCCACGTGTTTCACACACAAACATATTCAAAACATGAAGGCTGGAAGATTCAAGATGTTCCATGATTCTCTCTCTGGAATTGCGCTTGCTGGTTCCATATTGGCCAGGGGTTTACTTCAACATCTTCCCGGTGGTGTAAGTCGCACACCCATGAAGATTCACCAGTGGTCATCCATGGGGCGCCTGCGGCTGTTGCTTCAAGCGTCGTTGGATTGCAGCTTGGAACTTGGAGGTTCGCGGGACATCGTCCCTCATGGCTTCATAGTCCTTCACCTTGGGGGGTGCCATGGAGATTCACCACGAAAAAAAACCATGGATTTAGCATGATGAAATGGATGGAAATGGTGGACAAAAACCAGCAACATTCATGAAACATGTGGATTTACCAAGCTAATTGAGTTAGTGCGAAAAATCCCTTTTAGAGCCCATTGTTACAAGATATTTCCCTTTTTAATATTTTAATAGATTCCATTTGGCATATAGCACCCCCCAAAACGATAATTAGATAGAATGTTGACAACCCCCATTGAAATAGTTATACATTAAATGACTTTTCTATTTTTTTTCGGGGGTTGCTATACTCCAACTTTAACTAAAACATTGAAACACATTCTCATTGGATCATCATATCCCATTGAATCCCATTAAATCCAGATTCATATCCCATCTTTTGAAGCATTTGACCTTCCAAGTCACAGACCAATCTTCCAGCCCCGACTCCGCGATGACTTCCTCGAACTTCCGCGGCTCCCGCGCCGACACCGCGGCCGTTCCGACACCAAGGCCAAGACCGGCGCCCAGCGGAGCCCAGGTGACCTGGCGCCTGGGCCAACCGTTGGATGAAAATTGGATGAAAATTGGTGGTTTATTGGTGGTTACCTGGCTTAATGGGAAAACCATAGGAAAATGGAGGTTTACCCTCTGATAATGGTGGTTTTTCATGGTGGTTTTTCATGGGATAAAAAACCAACAAAAATCTTGTGATTTCTAGATGGGATTTACCCGGCCTGGTAAACTAACAGGTTGCGAACTTGAAAATGGCCATAGAAATAGTGGACTATTTTCCGATTAAAAATGGTGATTTTCCATAGCTATGTAAACGTTTACCAGAGGGTAATTGATCATATCAATCCACAAGTTTAGATCACTTTTCTTTGGTTCACAACATGAGCATGTACAATGTACAAAGAGGAACAAGGGTGAGCACATGATCAATGCGTGTTCTGAATCCTAAACTGTCCAAAACCACTTGTGCACAAGTGATATACTGCAAGTGCAACCCTGGATAAATAAGCCATTGTTGATGAATGAGGAGTCATACCGTTATACTCCCAAAATCCCAAAATAGTGATTTCATCTGCTACTTAAAATATCTTAAAGGCACATAGAGCTGCTCCCCGTTTTGGTCTCCCCCATGGTATCCTGCTCGGCACATAGGCCGCGCTTGGAGGACAGCTGTACCAGACCAGGACAGCTGCGCAACAAACGCGGACCGATACAGCGGCGGGTGACCGTCGCGGCGCCATGGGCGAGGACCCGGCTGACAAGGCGGAATCCCCGGCTGGTGCTTTTGCAAGTATCATGGGTTGGTTCTGTTCCCGGCCCATGATTATAGGTTCTCACCATGACTAGACCACTCTTGAATACATTGCAAAGAATATAAACACAAGAAATTCTGAACTGGCTTGGTTAGTATACCCGCATGCATAGTAAAGAGATCAAACTACTAAAGTACCCATCCAAGGTTGACAGTAATTTTTTACTCAGCATTACCCTTGGGCAAAACAACCTTGTATTCTTTGTAATTTAACTGTCCAAAGAAAAAGAGGCGGCCATGAGAATCCAACTTATGACTGGGGATTTAACATAGCCAGTGAAAATGGCCATAGAAAATAGTGAGTTTTCCCATAAAAAAGGGTGATTTTCCATAGCTATGTTAAATTACCAGAGGGTATGACTGGTGATTCTCATAAGCCCAAGCAGCCCAATAAAACCTCCCGATTTTTGCTGGTTCATACCCGCCCATTTCTCGCATGTGTCGGGCATGGTTGATCACATTTAAGGATCAATTCTTACAAGCGTTGTTCGGATTTCTGGACTGCCAAATCGCAACAACTGTTCATAACCAATGTGATCCAATCTGCAAAATTGGAGGTGAGATTGGGTTTGAAAAATCGCCAAATGTGCAATCTGGTTGGCCTTCATTGGATTCTGACCCATTATCATTTGTATCAAGCTAGTGATCAATCAGAAGTGTTTTGCTTAAAGTGGTTTTGGTCCCGGATGGAGGCACATACGCGCACATATGCACATGCAAACACGTTTTTGTTGCGTTTTTCACAGTTTGTTGGCTTTCCACCACCACCACTTCAAGGTCTGGGGCATTTTTTTCAGTTTTGTTTCGTTGCTTTAACCCATGTTATTCCCATATGTGATGCTGATTGAGCCTTCCACAAATTTGATGCTGATTGAGCCTTCCACAAATTATCATTTGGGTTGAAAGAGATGGGGCGCCCCTGTTCCATAAATTGCACAAATACATGTTATAAAAATCTGACGGTTTCAACATGTTTCAACCCCCTGAAACATATTAGTTGGGGTCATTATCCCATTACACATTAAAAACATCAACCAAATCATCATGTAGCCTCTGGTAAACTAACATAGCTATGGAAAATCACCATTTTCAATGGGAAAACCCACTATAAATGGCCATTTCCAATAGCTACGTTAAATTTCCAGAGGGTAGCTTGTATCCCTATATTCCCCATTCTCTCCCTTTTTTGCTGCTCACAATGGTGGCGCCTCGCCATAGCCTCCCAGCAGGGAGCCACCCAAACGCAGAACGGCGCCCGCCTTGGGAACCAAAAACCACCATGGTGGCTTTTTCACCACCAGGATATGTTTGGTGTCCATCTCAAGTACCGATTTGTTGCTACCCAAACCATGTTTTGGGCCATATCTATCATATTTCTGGGGTATTGAGATATGTGTGGTGGATATCAGGGTTGCTCCCAGGTACGTTTGGCGGGTAAGTCGGGAAAAAATCGGCAACATGTCAAGGTAACATGGCGAATTGTCACCCCTTGTGGTTATCATAGACATAGTGGGCTGGAGCAACCCTGATTAATAGGATATTTTCATAGGATATTATCATCTGGTTATTTAACATAGCCATGGAAAATCACCATTTTTAATAGGTAAACCATCTATTTCTATGGACCATTTTCCATGGCTATGTTAAATTACCAGAGGGTAATGGGCATATTTCATGGAAACCTATCACCAACAGTATCTGATTTAGAGATTTCACCAAATCAGATAGGTGGCAAAAAATTTGGAAATACATACTGACTATGTATAAACATTGCATGGTTACACTCCAGTAAATTAACATAGACCCTGCCAGATAGGGGTTGGAAAATTAGTTTCCATTACAAATTGGTGATTCATGGTGATTCTCAGGGTCTATGTTTATTTACCAGAGGGTATATTCACAAAAAATACAAAAGTACCCTGAAACACAATACAAGGCAAAACCCAAGTTTGGAATCACTATGCTGGTCTTAACATTCCTTTCAATTCGGGTCGCATAGATATATCAACCAAATTAACGCAGGGATACGCGGATGTGAGTCAACTTTTTAACCAGATTGCAATGGTTATATTGGATATACAATGGATGTGAATCTATAAATATATGTATTATATATATATATGGTAAGCACAAAAATATAGGGTATCTGGTTGGTGGTTGAATCAACCATCTCACGAATTTGAGGCAAGTCGCAAACCCATGTCCTGTCTTGGAAGTAATGGGGTCCCGAAAAGGGCTATAGGATGCTATAGGTTGGCTTTGGGGTTTTTGCTTGGTATCTCGTTTTTAATTGCAACCATGAAATTTAGACAAAACCCGGAAAAGACTCAAAACAAAACGTCCAGAAAATATTGAACTGTGAGGTTCCATTTTCTTCCTTGAGTTTGTTGGTTTGGAAAATGAACAGCCAAAAGCAAATTTGGGGTGCTTGCTTTTTGAACTAAAGGCATCAGAACAAATCCTCCAAAGAACAAGAACAATAAATCAAGTGTTTGGTTTGATTGTTTTTTTGGAAGCTCGGAGTTGCAGAACAAAAACAATTTGATTGTGTTTTTGTACTAGTATTTGTGCATGTTTTTGTTCAAGCAAACGTCGCATTTTTCAGGTTCGAAAAAAAGGAAAAACCCAATATATGCCGTGAATGCTGTAAACCAAACTTTCTAAAAGTAGTATGTATGTATGTAAATTATTTACTTGAGAGGGGGAACACGAAAGGTAGGTAAGCAAGAAAGGAACCGAAGAAAAAATGAAGGGGAGAGGGGAGGGAAAAATACATAAAGTGGAGTCTGGTAAAAGCGACGCGGCCATTTTCTTTCCAAAAATATGAAGGGGAGTCTGCTAAAAGCGACTGAAAGGCTTCGGCGATGTGGTTGGGGTTGGTGGTGGTTGTGGTGTTGGTGGTGTTGGTGGTGCTGGTGGTGTTGGTGTTGTTGGTGGTGGTAGTGTTTCTGGTGTTGTTAGTGTTGTTAGTGTTGTTGGTGTGGTTGGGTTTGTTGGTGGTGTTGGTGTTGTTGGTCGTGTTGTTGGTTGGTATTGTGTGTTCGTGTTGTTGTTGTTGTTGTTGTTGTGTGTTGTTGTGTGTTGTTGTGTGTTGTTGTGTGTTGTTGTGTGTTGTTGTGTGTTGTTGTGTGTTGTGTGTGTTGTTGTGTGTTGTTGTGTGTTGTTGTGTGTTGTTGTGTGTTGTTGTGTGTTGTTGTGTGTTGTTGTGTGTTGTGTGTGTGGTGTGTTGTGTGTGTGTGTGTGGTTGTGTGTGGTTGTGTGTGTGGTGTGTGTTGTGGTGTGTTGTGTGTGTGTGTGTTGTGTGTGTTGTGGTGTGTTGTGGTGTGTTGTGGTGTGTTGTGGTGTGTTGTGGTGTGTGTTGTGTGTGTGTTGTGGTGTTGTTGTGTGTTGTTGTGTGTGTGTGGTGTTGTGGTGTGTTGTTGTGTGTTGTTTGTGTTGTTGTGTGTGTTGTGTGTGTGTTGTGTGTGTGTGTTGTTTGTGTGTTGTGTGTGTTGTTGTGTGTTGTTGTGTGTTGTTGTGTGTTGTTGTTGCGTGTTGCGTTGTTGTGTTTGTTGTGTGTTGTTGTGTGTTGTTGTGTGTTGTGGTGTGTTGTTGTGTGTTGTTGTGTGTGTGTGTGTGTTGTTGTGTGTTTGTGTGTGTGTTGTTGTGTGTTGTTGTGTGTTGTTGTGTGTGTTGTGTGTGTTGTGTGTGTGTGTGTGTGTTGTGTGTTTTGTGTGTTGTGTGTTGTGCGTTGTGCGTTGTGCGTTGTGCGTTGTGCATTGTGCGTTGTGCGTTGTGCATTGTGCGTTGTGTTGTTGGTGTTGTTGTTGTTGTTGTCGTCGTTGTTGTTGTGTTGCTGTTGCTGTTGGTGTTGTTGGTGTTGGTGTTGGTGTTACCCCTGCAGCGTTTTTGCTCGGTTCCGTAGTGGCCGAAAATCGTCAAATCGGTGGTGTTTTCGCGTGTTTTTGCAACTCTCGGAGCAAAAAACACCGTAAATACCGATGTTTTTGGCGGGTCGGAAGCCCAAAACCACAGTATTTACGATGTTTTTTGCCTCTGGTAGTAAAAAGCACGGTATTTACAGTGTTTTTTGGCCAGCACCTAGCAAAAACACTGGTATTTACGGAGGTTTCACCATGTAGCAAAATGTGGTTTCTTGATCCGAAAAGAACAAAAATACTGTAAATTACAATGTTTTGAGTCTGCTCTTAGGGTGCGTGGGAGGTGTGGAGGGGGGGGGGTTACTAAAATGACTAGCAATCTCCTGAAGAATCAGGTAACGGGGCTGGCCGCCCTCCCCTTTACTTCGTAAAGTAAAACTCAAGGTAGCCCCTCTGGAGCTACCTTTCGTGATATATATGTATATATATATATTTTTTTAAGAAGCCCAATTTTGAAATAGATAACTCACATTTGGAGAAAACGCGCGCACACATTTTTCAACGCACGTGCACTTTACATCGGAATTACGACATTGCATTCAAGTGCGTTGCACAAATATTAAATTCATATGTGGTATGGCATGGTCGTCCCACCACCATTACACCAACATACGGGTATAGCAAACCATCTAGAGTATGGGAAGGTAAACCATGCTTTGACCATAGCACGTATCTGGATAACTGAGCACACTTAACTATATAACTTTCAAAGTTCGGACATTTTGGGATAGTTACCCCTATACAATTCTCATTATTTCTGGTGATGTTGCAGGGTTTGTCTGAAACTAGGGCACCCCTAGTTTACCCATGGCTGCCATGGCTCATCATTTTCCCACTGAACACGTGCCAACACGTAATTCTATCGTCCCCACTTTCAACCAGACCCATAGCTTACCCTCTGGTAAACTAACATAGCTATTGAAAATGGCCATTTCTAGTGGATTTACCCATTAAAAATTGTGATTTTCCATAGCTATGTTAGTCATTACCAGAGGGTAATTCAATGGATTGAAACATCGGAATCCAACGATTTTCCCACGAAATTCATGGGGCTTTCCGAAAAATCTTCCCAAGCAACCCTGTCACAAGAGGACGAGGACTCACCGGAGAAATATACATAAATATGCCCATCCAATAATGTTCTCCAATTTTTTTTCCCAACACTCCAGTTGTTTACCCTCTGGTAATTTAACATAGCTATTGAACATGGCCATTTATAGTGAGTTTTCCCATTAAACATGGTGATTTTCCATAGTTGTGTTAGTTTACCAGAGGGTACAGGTTTCACCCCATTTTGTTTCAACCAATCCAGGACGATCTTCCAAGGAACTCCCAGGATGCGCCCAGGTCCGGGGCAAATGCGCCTGGGCAAAATGTCACCCAGAAACCCTTTGTGATTTGCGAAAATGAGATGCTTCTATCAACAAAAGTATAACAACATGAGATTTACCCTCTGGTAAACTAACATAACTATTGAAAATTGCCATAGAAATAGTTGATTTACCCATTACAAATGGTGATTTTCCATAGCTATGTTAGTTTACCAGAGGGTAAGCACGCAAAACCAAACACATGAGTTTACCATGATTCGCCACTTCAGAAGTGAAGAACGCCGTTGCAGCAGCATCTTCAGTGAAGTGCCCTGGCCGGAAGATCGGATGATCCTGAGGCCCTGGATGCACTGCTTCGCAAGCCGGAGCTTTGCGCTGGAGAACATCAGCCCATCAATCCAAGGGGGCCGTGCCTCTCAGTAGCTTGGCATCTAGGCACTTCCGAAGGGACTCGGTGATCTGGCCGTTGTACTTCTCAACAGCTGCCCCACCATCTGCATGTTCTCGTTCATCACCAGCACCCTTCCTGTCTTCCTCCCTGGCCGACAGGCTGTTCAAGATCGGCCTTCGGTGGTTCGTTGTGGTCTTCCTTGAAGGTCACCTGCTTCGTGGATGTTCGTGTGGGACGTTCGTTGGGTGGAGTAGATGCGTTGCGTTGTCCGGGTTGAGGTGGAGGTGTTGCTCCTGGTTGTGTGGGAGGCTCAGTTGAGTCCGCGTTCGTTGTGTTGGCTCCTGCTCCATGTTCCTCTGCGACGTTCATGCTCATAGGAGCGTTACACTACACTACACTCCAGTACACTCCACTACACTAAATCACACTACACCACACTACATTACACTACACTACGCTCCACTACACTACACTACACTACATCACACTATACTACACTACACTCCACTACACTACATTACACTATACTACAATATCTTCCACTACACTTCACTACCTTACACTACACTACACTCCATTACACTACAGCTACAACTACAACTACAACAACACAACTACACTCCACTACACTAAATTACACTACACTACACTACATTACATTCCGCCACACTCCACTACACCATACTACATTACACTACATTACATTGAATGACACTGCACCACAGATAGACAGGTAGACAGCTAGACAGATAGACAGATGAAAGGGAGAGATAGATAGATAGATAGATAGATAGACAGATAGACAGAAAGAAAGAAAGATAGATAGATGGCTAGACAGATAGATAGATAAATAGATAGACAGACAGATAGATAGATAGACAGATAGATCGATAGATAGACAGACAAATAGATAGATAGGGAGAGAGAGAGATAGATAGATAGAAAGATAGACAGATAGATAGATAGAGAGACAGTTTTGAGCGATAGATAGATGGAGAGATAGAGAAATAGAAAGAAAGAAAGAAAGATAGAGAGATAGATAAAAGGATAGATAGATAGATAGATAGAAATATACAAAGATAGATAGATAGATAGACAGACAGATAGATAGATAGATAGACAGACAGATAGATAGATAGACAGACAGATAGATAGACAGATAGATAGATAGACAGACAGATAGATAGATAGATAGATAGATGGCTAGATAGATTGATAGATGGATAGATAGGTAGATAGATAGGTCGATAGAAAGACAGATAGACAGATAGACAGGTAGACAGATAGACAGATGAAAGAGAGAGAGAGATAGATAGATAGATATATCGATAGAAAGAAAGAAAGAAAGATAGATAGATAGATGGCTAGACAGATTGATAGATAGATAGATCGATGGATAGATAGATAGATAGTCAGAAAAAGAAAGAGAAAGAGAGGAGACCTCAACCACCTTTCGGTCCATCAGCGGCTTCGCGCTGCCATCCTTGATTCACAACAACCAACTTCTCCTATAGGTTTCCTATTTTTGAAACTTCCGCCACCGCCTTGCGCGGTACTACTGGTATTTCACTAACCTGAATCTTGCGGCCATATTGGGATGATTTCCCGAATCCTAACCATCATTCCCAGGGCTCGGTCACGACGTGAGGTCGTGATGAAATTTACCCAGATATATATGTATATATATATGTATATATATATATACATTTATATATGTGTTTTTCAATCCCCATGTTTGATATGTATATCTATCTATCTATCTATCTATCTATCTATATATATATATGCATATATATCTATTTAAAGTCAATGCAATTCAGCGACCATTCGCCACGGCCGCCTTTAAGGCCCAAATCATGGCAGGCTTTTTGGTGTTTTTTTCCAAGGGCAGCATGTTCTGGTGGTTTAATGGTGGTTTAATGGTGGTTTAATGGGATAAAAAACCAACAAAAATTCTGTGATTTCTAGATGGGATTTACACTCTGATAAACAAACAGTTTGCTATTGAAAATGACCCATAGAAAGTTCGTTGATTTACCCATAGCATTGGCATGGTGATTCTCCATAGTTATGTTAGTTTACCAGAGGGTAAACTGAGTATAGCGGTATAGCAACACACACATTTTGGTTGTTTCATGAGTAATAATGTATTGCCAGATTAATCCAAATTAATACCTTTGCCATTAATGTGGATATGTCCATAAGGTACCTCTAGATCCATGTATTAATCATTCACAGTAATAAACACATATAAACTAGATCCACGTGTTAATCATTTAATATCATTTACCACAGTAATAAACAGCCGTGAATTTCCCCTACTGGAAAACAACGAAACGTTATGCTTGGTGGGTCCTGCTCTGGTCGACTCAGAAGTTTGCAGCGAAAATCAGTTCCCATTCCAACTTTTGACCCATTTAGTTCCCATCATATGTATCCGTGTAAGACACACAATCCCAACAGGGTTTTCAAAAGTTCTGAGTCTAGCTTCATTATCCGCACATTACCCTCTGGTAAACTAACACAACTATGGAAAATCACCATTTTTAATAGGTAAACCATCTATAAATGGGCAATTTTCCATGGCTATGTTAAATTACCAGAGGGTATATGACAAAAACTGCATGTTCTTCCTTGTTCAGCTCTCATTATATTGCCATGATCTACCATAACAATTGGTTCTACATTCAGCTGGCTGTACCCAAGTTATATCCGCATTATAACCCGCATTATGTAACCCATGAGATATTCCATCATGATAACTCCGATATATGCATATGTGTTTTCTCGTATGTTTCCATTGTACATCGCAACCTCCAGGAAAATAGAACAATATATCCAGGATGGTACAGTGATGTTTTCTAAACCATCTCCAGGTTACTCTTCTGCACCTTCTCTTGGGGTTGCTGAAAAAATATTTGGTGTACAACATGGTCAAGTTGGAGTCTGGGCGAACGGATTACATCGATTCACCAAGCTGAAAAAGGTTGAAATTTGGGATGATTCCTCTTACCCTCTGGTAAACATACAAAAAACTATGGAAAATCACCATTTTTAATGGGAAAGTCAGCTATAAATGGCAATTTTCAATAGCTATGCTAGTTTACCGGAGGGTATATTCACCATCGTTCCAGTGACGTTTTTGGGTGCGGTAACTTTAATTCATCCAGATATAAAACATGGAGCATATATAATTATTCCGGACTTCCCACAGTATGACGACTCATATGGGGCTGTAATTGTATATATATATCTATAGATAGATAGATAGATAAAATGCTATTCCAATATATGTTGATTGGTTCCTATAGGGGTTATACTACCTGATGTTTACGGGGAATTGTTATAACCCATGTAACACGGATACCTATCCACCAACCAACACACACACATATACATATATATATATATATGTACACAGTATATATATATACAGTATATTGTAAAGAATATATTATATATATTATATATTATATATACATGGTATATTATATATATGATATAAATATATTATATATTATATATTATATATTATATATTATATATATACATTATATATCCCAGATTCTACCGCTTCCCAGCTCCCTCAGTCTCTTTTTTGGAGGCCCCAACTTGATCTCCGTGGCAGGACTGGCCACTAAGATCTTTTGCGCTGCGTGGGCGGCGATGACCTGAAGAGGCCCAGATGGGATGTGACTGATATGACACGGCCCGCTGTTGAATATGACTGTTATGTCATGGACATGGAGGTTTTTTGTGGGGATTATTATGTATTATTATGGGATTATATGGGATTATATGGTGATATCACACTAGGGTGTATTTAATGGTGATTTAATGGTGATTTAATGGAATTTAATGGTGATCTGATGGGATTTAATGGTGATTTCATGGGATTTAATGGTGATCTGATGAGATAGGTAAATCATGGTAAATAGATGGATTACCCTCTGGTAAACGTTTACATAACTATGGAAAAACACCATGTTAATGGGTAAATCAACTAATTATTTCTATGGCCATTTTCAATAGCCATGTAACAAATTACCAGAGGGTAAGACATATGATAACAATAGGGCATGTGTATCTACACATGATATTCATATATTGTACAGTCAGTGGATTAATTTGAGGGAAATTCTAGGGGAAAACTGGCTGGGTTTCCCATCAAGTATAGGGCGTTCCAGTGTCGAATTTCCTTTGAACCATGTCTGGGAGATATGAGATAATAAGTGATAACGCAGTGAACAGAGAATTTGGGCTCGTAAATCTGATGAACACTCCTGAACACTGATCAGCACCTTTTCACTCAGTCAGCTCGAAGGTAGCTGAAAGCACTAAAATGGCTGCAGCGCATATACAAACATATGTACTACATGTAACATGGCCTATACTGTACACATATCTGATCACGCCTCCCGAGCCTGTTCGGAGGCACGGTGAGTCCAAGTGTTTTGAACTAGGCGAGTTTTGATATGTACAGCGGAGCATAGCCACGACTCAAGCCATCTACGCTCTCAGTGTCAGGTGATGCTCACCTTCCAGAAAGTGAAAGTTCATATTTCGCAGGGCTTTGTTCATTTTCTCCTCTATGACAGGTTTCGTCAAGACGTCGGCAAGCATATCGCCAGTGTCGACCTTCTTCAGCCGAAAGTAGCGCTTGGCAACGCGGTCTTGTACCCAATGGTATTGAGTATCCACGTGCTTGGCCTTGCCTAGTCCTCTGCGAGAACCCATTGCTATTCCTGCACTTGCGTCCATGAAAACTTCACTCTCGGGTTGCAAACCCCAGTCTTTGGCGGTTGAAACTTCTCCCAGCAAATTGCTGGCACCGCTCACAAGAGCGTAATACTCACTCTCTCCAGACGAAAGACTAACAACTCCTTGTCCTTTAGAATAAGTCTTGATACAACAACCTCCGGCCATCAGGACGCCTCCTGACACGCTCTTCCTCGTCTTCACGCAACCAGCGTGGTCAGCATCAGACCACATCACAAATGGACTGAGTTTGCTCTGATGAGGAAAGAATTGTGCCATGCGTGGTCGATACCTTAGGTATCGTGCAACTCGTTTGAGCATAAGCATGTGGCTGGTAGTTGGTCGTTGTAGCCCTTGTGCTAAAGATCTTGTCGCTACTTGCAGATCTGGTCGATCTTGTGCCAAATAAGCTGCTCGCATTGCAACTGATCTGTACTGGGTTGCTTCTTCATCATTGAGAAAAACAGTGGCGTTCTTGAGGTCTTCCACTGAACCCTTGGCAAGTGGTGTCTTGACTTTGGCTCCTCGGGGACCATCTCCGAGTAAATCAATCACCAACTCTGCATGACGTGCATCTGGTTCCCACCAAATTCCATTCTCCTTCCATGTGATAATTCTGTTCAGGACTCTGATGTCCTGGATGGTGTCTGGTGTTCCTGGTGGTCCTAAAATACCACGTTCCACACATTTCCACTTCTTCGACAGCTCTTCATGAAGCCATTTGATGTTGTCAAATGTTCCGGCTGTTGTAAAATCATCTCCATGTACAACAGTTCTGAGGTCTCGGCCTGCATGGTAGTAAATGCATGGATTGCTTTTTCCTTGCTTGAAACCTAAGGCTAACATAACCTTCCGTATTTGCAACTCCCAGTTGAGAGGTGCGTCTCTGGTTCCATACAAAGACTTGAGCAATCTTCCTACCACATCTTCTCCAGGTTTCTTTGCTTCTGCAGGAAGTTCCACATAGATCTCACGCGTCGCATCTGAGTAAAAGTGGGCGCGTTTCACATCCAAAAATCCTAGAAGTCTACGCTTGCGATAGGCTTCCTTGACAGCTTTTCCAGCGTCTGGCAACTGAAACGTGACGGCTATTGTAACTAGCATCTTCAAAGCCGACAAACTTGGCATTGCTGCGAAGAACTCGTCAAAACCTGAGCCCTTCTTGACTTCTTGAGCGACTAGCCTACTTCTATACAGTGGATTCTCTTCATCCTGCTTGTTGACATCTACCCATCGTGTTCCAATGGTGCGTACCCCTTTGGGCATCTTGTGTCTGGGAATCTTTTCCCAAACTGGAACACTTTCGATGATTTCGACCTCATCTTTTCTGGCTTGTTCTACACCTTTGCTGTCTAAAATCTTTCCACTGATATCATCGTAATAATACCATGTGGCTGCTTCATCTTCCAGTTCTGGTGGAAGAGGAATTGTCTCTTCACAAACTGGCTCTTCTTCACCTTCAATAGACTGAAGGTACTTCTCCCGATCTTCCATGATCAGGTTCGTAAGACATTGGTCTATGTCATCCATGTCTTCTGGTCTCTCATTCTCAGGTGGCCTTTTGGTGCCCTTGGACGCCTGAGCTGAAGCAGCTCGGCTGTCCTTGGACTTTGACGTTTCGCCTCCTGAGTCTGCCGGTCTTTTCTGACCTTTGGTTGGAGACATTTCCAACCTTTTGTGTGCTCTTTCTTCTTGCTCGCCTCCTGCCCTCTTGGCTGAGGCTGTGCTTGCGCTTGCGCTTTCTGCAGGTGGATCTGCAGCTTGTCCGGTAGCAGGACTCTGCCTGGCCATAGCAGGTCCAGCTGTTGGCAAACTTGGCGCAGATTCCCCTGTGGCTGAATACCACAGTTCAGTGACAATATCTGTGTCATCAATCAAAGGCGCGTTGATGACTTCATCTCCTAAACTAGGATCTATTGGTTCAGACTTGATAATGTCTCCTGTTTTGAAATCTCTGGTGACTCTCCACCAGACGTTGTCCCAGTTGGGACCTTCTGGCATAGTACCCTTGAGATACCTTGCATTCTTGTCAAGGCGCGCAAACACCTTGAAACCTTGAGGGACTCCTTGTGGTCTCTCGCTGGAATATCCATAAAGGATCTTTGTGCCTTCTTCGGACACTTCTTGTTTCTGACCAGTGATTTCAGAATCAACCTTGGCCGTATGTTGGGCTACTCTCAGGTTGCCCTCTTCTGCTTGAAGTAAGCGTTCCATTCTTTCTCTGCAGGCTGGAGTGTGATGAACTCCAGTGCCTCTCTTGCCAATTCTAGTGGCATCACAGGCGACACAACCAGCGGTGTAGCCATACTTGTCCAAATCACGTTTGGTGATGTAAAGTCGTCTTGTCGACTTCTTTGGTGGCTCAGAGGGCACTGATGGCGCCAGTGGCTGCTGATCTCCCTCAACAATCTGAGGAAGCAAAACATCATCTCTTTTTGATGCTTGAGGATCCCAGGGAACCCCAGTGACTGACATCAAAGTTTCGGCATCATATCTGTCGTCAGCACTCTTGCGTCGAATGCTTTGCACAGTGAAAACACCTGATGCATTTCCCACTATCTTCTCAGTGGTATTGTCTTTGACTCCCAAGAAAACTCCTTGGTGCCATCTTTGTTCAAACTTGTGACTTCTTTTGAGGAATTCAATTGTTTCCCCAAATGGTGGTAATGACACTCTCCACTCACGACCACGGTGTCTAGAGTACGGTGTCTTCCCATCTTTGACTTCCAATGATCTGTGAAACAAATTGTAAGTGGTGCTAGCATGTTCAACCAACCATGTCAAAACTGGGTGGTCGTCTGGCACCTTTCTTCCATAGCTTGTCTCCAAGGCACTTCTGAGTGTCCTGGATTGAGATTCAATAGCTTGAACTGCTCTTTCAATTTCCCCTTTGGATTCTGAGACTCCTTTGGGAACTTTTTCCAAAACCAACTGTTTGTCAAAACCATTCTTGGCTGCCTCAACTACGGAGTTGAGTGCAGGCTCTGGGTCATATCTCATGACCATCTTGGGGTACCCAAACTTCTTAAGGTCATTCAAAAGACACTTAGATCCAATAGGACCTTGGGTAACTCCCTTGTATGGCAAAACGTGTGCGTAGGTCAACTTGGACCATCGATCGTGTACTATCAAAACTGGTGCATGCTTTTTCTGCACTTCTTCTGTGATGACAGTGTCATCCACTGAATTCATGAAACAATAGTCAGCTGAGATCACAGGAACTGTTTCATCTGAATGATCTACTTTGACATGTCTCATTGCCTTTGCCTTACCTCGAATGCAATGTTCACACCAACTCCTAAAAGGATAATGGCTGACAAAATGCTCTTCTTTTTCTCTCTGCGTCGGCGCTGCTGCAGTTGGTAGCGCTTGAGAACCTAGCTTACTACTGCCCGGTTCATCATCTCCACTACCTGCGCTCTCTGTGGTCTCCACAGGACTTACGCCTTCAACCCTTCTGTGGGCTGCCCATGAAAATCCATGGCTATCTTGAAAACACCTCCAGTCATGGTGACTGGAACCTTCTTGGCTCCCCTTTGCAGAAACGATCCATTGGGGCCGAAGGTTACTGTCCAGCCTTTCTCAACCAGCTTGGACACAGACAACAATGGCTTTGCAACATCCATTGCCCGGAACTGTCCCACACCTTTGACTTGTGGGCCTCCTTTCTCACCCATGGTCACTATAGGGTTGCACACCCCATGCACCTGGACTGGCTGCCCTGATGCGTTGGTGAACGGCTTCTCATCCACAGGTGTCATAGCCAACTCCAATGACTGTGCCAATTCCTTGGGTAGGCAACTGGTTGCTGCCCCTGAGTCAACGGTGGCCCAGACAATGGTATCCACCTGAGATGCCAAACTTCCCAGGAAGTCGAGGTTGGAGTCTGACCGAACTCCTCCTCCTGGTGAATGCTCCCTGGGCTTGGGAGATGGCGTTTTCTCCCTCTTCTTCCTGGCTTTTCTTTCCATGTAGTCAGCTGCATCACGCACCGTCTTCTCCAGGAATCTCTTGGTGCACATGCTGAACTTTCCCCTGCCCTTGGACGCCTGGGCTGAATCAGCCCGGCTGTCCTCAGGCGCTCTCGATGGGGATTTGGACTTCAGCTCGATGGGTGCTCTGGGTGCCTCTTCTTCTTCTTTCTTTTCTTCTTTCTCTTTCTCCTCGACCTTCTCTTTCTCCCCTGGCCTCTTGGGGATCTTCTTCACCTCGGGCTTCAAATCATCTTTACCCTGGTGCCTGAAGCGCTCATAGTGCTCCTCAAGATGCTGCTTGCGCTTCTTCTTCTCTTCATCCTTGGCGATCTCTTGGCGCTTTTTCTCATCTTTGGCCTCTGCATCATCCATGGGGCGCTTCTTGGATGATTCTCCTTCTTCTCGTGCCTCTCTCTCTGCCTTTGCCTGACGATGTTCTTTCTTCCAAAACTCCAGGGCATACTGAGGATAGCATTGCTTGTTCTCCACATGTTGCCAAAAGCTTGCAACGCTCGCGGAGTTGAGGGCCTTTCCACATGACTGGCACTTCACATAGGGATACCCTTTGTTGGAGACAGTTTTGCACTTCTCATGCAACTCCTTGAATGGAATGGGTCTTCGAAAGGAATTCTGCCAATGCTCGACCACATCCTCCATGCCTGGTGCTGGCTCCTGGTTGTAGGGCAAATCGTCTGGATCTGTCTCATCAGAAGATCCTAGGTCAAGAACTTCACCATAGGCTTTCTCGTAGGCTTCCTTCAAGACGTTGTCCAACTTGCTGAGGACTTCAGGATCGGTTTTCAGCTTTTCAAGTCTGCTGACAAACTCATATCCTTCAGAGGAAATGCTCTCCTCAGAGGAAATCTCACACTTGTCATGGATCCATTGTGGGATCTCATCCTTACTCATCTCTTTCATCTTCTCCTTATTGGCCTTCTTCCTTGCTTCATCTGCTCTTCGTCTTTCAGACCTGTGATGTCCTCCTCTATGGCGCTTAGGTTCCAGCTTTCTTGCTTTGGGAGGTTCAGGAAGATCTCCCATGTCATCCTTGTCCCACTTGTCAGGGTCGGCCTGTCCAAAGGTGGCCAACTCATAGCGCTTGAAGCTGGATGCTCTTTGTCTAGCGGTGGCTGCTCGATGACTGGCAGCTCTCTGCCTATCCTTCTCCTTCTTCTTGGCAGCTCTTGGATGTACCCCAGCATCAAGGTCGGCTTGCATCCGACGAGAGGGTGCAGCCGGTGCTGAAGCAGCACGGCCTTCTGCTCTCACTTTGGCCATTGCCTCTTTGGCCTCTTTGTGATGCTGGGCTGCCTCTTTCTTCAACTTGTCCAGGGCCTCTTGGCGTTCCTTAAAAGCTTGATTTGCTTGACGCCCTTTGTCCTGAGCTTCTTTGACAGCGCTCTCAGCCTGAGCAATCATCTTGCCAAACAGCTCCTTGTTAGACCCAGAAGCTGATGCCAAAGCGCTCTGAGCCATGACGATAGCGCTCCTGGTCACAGTGCTCCTTGAAGGTGCTTGAAGGTTTGCTCGTCTTGGGCTTCGACCACGACGAGAGGATTCATCTCGAGCTTCAGACTTGGGTGGCATAGTGTCTTCCAAGGCAAACAGCGCAGTGATCTCTGGTTCAGGTTGATCACCAGATGAGGCTGCAGGTTGTTGCTCTTGAGCCCAAGTGTCGGACTCAACATTAGCAACTTTACGACCTTTGCCTTGATCACCTTTACCTTTACCTTTGTCTTGACCTTTCTTGCCTTTTCCTTTGCTCTTGGAGTCATTGGTGTTTTGTTTATACCAAGACTGCTGATTCCAAGATTGATTGTTCCAAGAACCCTTGTGGTATGAATTGTTTGACCAAGACGAAGACTGACTCTTACCTTTGTCTTTACCTTTTGACTTACCTTTGCCTTTCCCTTTATCTTGTTTTCCTTTTCCCTTACCCTTAGCAAGGGAATCCACATCCATGGGAACGGCTCCTGACTTTGCTTCTTTCCTGGTCTCGACATTCTCAAGGTAGGCCAGGACTTCAGCTTTTACCTGGTCGTACGACGTCAATCTCGATGCCTGCAAGTCCAAATGATCTTGCAACTTGTTGGGACACATCTGCTGCAAGCAACTCCTGCAGATGTCATCTTCAAGTGGTTTCTTTCTCCTGTCTTCATACTTTCTTTTCAAGTTCTCCCAACTCTCAAGACCTTCTCGAAGCTTATCAAGACTGCATTGACTTGGATGCAGAACCTTTTTCAACAAGGCTGAATTGGCTTGAGGATTTTGAGGATCATATTTGCACAACAGTCGTCTCATGGCTTCTAGGCCAAAGTGGCTACCACGAGATGTGTTCTTGACGATTTCCAACGCTTCTCCCTCAGTCAATGATATGAGGGCTTGTCTGGCCTGAGCTGAAACTAGCTCGGCGCCTTCATCAAAGTCTACTTCTAGACTTGACTCAGTGATCTCTTTGTCACACTGAGACTCGACTTGTGCCACAATCTTCACAGCGTTCTTGTGGCAACTTTCAACCCATGTCTTAAACTTGTACCACCAACTATCCCAAGTGCCTGATGCTCCAATGAACTTGTCAGGCTTTGGTATGCCTTTCAACTCTGATCTGTCTTTGTACTCAACAGATCTCTCAACATTTCTGTTGATCTGAAGCTGCTGGTTCATAGCCTCGGTCATTGCCTGGCTCAACTGCGCCTGACCCTGAGTCAATTGGGCCATCATCTGCATAACCATCTGGGACATGTTGGGACCGTTGCCTTGTGCTTGTTGTGGTGCTGGTGGAGTGCCTGGTTGCTGAGGTGGCTGCTGTTGCTGAGCCATCCTTAGTCGTTCTTCAGGTGCTTAGAGACCTGGTTCAAGAGAACCCTTGGATACTGTTGGAGATGCACTCCCAGGTTATGGAAGTACCTTTGGAGTTTCCTGATTTTCAGGAGCTTGAGTGTCAACCTTTTCCAGTTGGCACTGGGTAGGCGCGCCAGAGCTGATGCAGCTCGGCGTGGACACCTACACATTCACAGCTGGGTATCAGAACCTCAGCTCCGCTACCATGAACAGAGAATTTGGGCTCGTAAATCTGATGAACACTCCTGAACACTGATCAGCACCTTTTCACTCAGTCAGCTCGAAGGTAGCTGAAAGCACTAAAATGGCTGCAGCACATATACAAACATATGTACTACATGTAACATGGCCTATACTGTACACATATCTGATCATGCAGGATAATACTGTAAACTATATATATATAATCAACATAAAGCAACCATATGATTTTTGGGCGCGTCTGGAAATGCACTGTAGTCTCATAAATTCCATGTTCATGAAATAGATCATTGACCTGTGGATTTAGAGGTACTCTAGTCTCAAATAAACACACATTTTTGGCTGTTGTCCATCCAAAAGTGTGCCAAACAATCTAAAAAGAATGCAGGGCATCTGCAATGTCTAGAACCATCCATGCCAGCATCGAAGCACAATGAAAAACATCTCAGGGTGAATCCGGAAACATGGCATATGAGAGTTGCAGCAACAAACACATTCAACCCCAAAACAAATGATCTAATCTTACCATATCTTGCCAATAAGAACAGAGACATCACATAAAGCACAAAATTGTGGGACTGAACAAAAAGATAGACCTAGCAGAATTGCAACCAACAGATGCACTGGAGGCTACTTGGGCGCAAGGTCACTGCCCTGGTATCGGTGTCGTCACTGAAGAAATCTCTTTGACCAAATGGTCGTCATCATGCCCCATTACCCTCTGGTAAACTAACATAGCTATGGAAAATCACCATTTTTAATGGGAAAACTCACTATAAATGGCCATTTTCAATAGCTATGTTAGTTTACCAGAGGGTACATATTTGTATCACTGTAATTAACTGTAACCTTAACTTGTTGGCGACATGGCTCAGCCCACACTGTTTGGGCTAAATCGATGGTTTTCATCGGGCCATTTCCGTTGGCGTTGGTCAAATCCGACATTTCTTTCTTGGTCCAACGCCATGTTTCTTGTTGAAACCGCCTCTGTTCGTTGGCTAAAGCCCTTCTTTGCCAGTCAAATCCCTATTTTCTCTGGTTAATTCCAATGTTTTTTGTTGATCAAATGCATGTTGTTTTGTTGGTTAAAAAAATTACCCTGCAGTTTCTATTGGTAAAACCCCACATGTTCACATTTTTGAAGGTCCAACCCGGCACACAAAAAGTTCGAAAAAAAACTCGCCCAGTGACGCGCTCACGTAGCGATCGCCGGGTTGGCACATGGGAAAACCAAAGCTCGTCACCTACAACCTGCAGATTTTCATGGGGGAAAAAAAGGGGGGTTTCCTAAGTCATGGTGGTACCCCAATGGCTGGATGGTTTATTTCCATGGAAAATCCCATCAAACAAAATTCTTAGCCTCTGGTAATTGGGATGTTGCAGTTTGCGAACTTGAAAATGGCCCAGTCGAAATAGTTGATGACTACCCAGCTATGACATGGTGATTTTCCAGTTGGCTATGTAAATGTTTACCAGGCCGGGTCCCCTTCGGCCAAGCGGCGAGATTTTGAGGGATCATCGCAATGGAAGTTCAATTGCCACGTTTGATGACCAAATGGTAATGTGGTTGGTCGTATACTCAATGGATTGGTTTAGTCGGGAAAAATTGAACCGGAAAGACCCATACTTCATGGGAAAATCTATGGTTTCCGGTTTAGATTTTCCCTTAAACCAATCCATACTAACCCTCTGATAAATATTAGTCAAATGGGATTATTGTTCCCAACTGAATGGAAAGTCATAAAATTCCATGGTTCCAAACCACCAACCAGTAATGGGGATGTTTAATGGGATATGTCATGCTTCTAGCAACCAAATATTTTTGGGAAAATTATCTATAAGAAGGATTAAGAAGGGTTATAATAATGGATTTCGATCAATAGGTAGTTATGGATCATTTTATATAATGTCATCATCGGGATCTTTTGTGGGGATAGTTCATGGGATACACAACCAATGATGTGGGATATTTGTTTTATTAAAAATCTATATACTCTATTTGAGTTATTTGAATCGGATGTGTAGGGATTTGCCAACCACTTATCTGTGGAATTAATGGTATTGAATTGGATATCTTAATGACCATAATACGTGTTTTTAACCATTTGCTTGGAATATTTAATGGGACATAATGGATCTTCATGGGACATTTTATTGGGTATAATATAATACACAACCAATAATATAATACCATTAAGGATTAATTGTCTATTTGATGTAAGATTAAAGCTTTATATTTAGGGGATTTACCCGCCATTTTTTTTTATGGAAATTCAGTGGGATATCTACTTGGATATTTCACCGTCACCATGCCAGCATCATACTGGAGCCATCCAATGATGGGGCTTGATGGGCGAGTCTTAACCATCAACAACGTCAACAACCACAATAAATGGGGTAAAAATTACCCATCTCCTCTATATGGGATAGAACAATAAATGGTGGCCCAAACTTCATGTGATTCTATAGCTTTGATTGATGCTTCAGCAAGACTTTGGATATATTTTTCAGAGGGCTAGGTCAACCACCATTGATAGTAAGCCATGTTGACCATTTTCATGTTAACGTTAACCATACTGTTGACCATTTATAGTTGAAATAGAATATATATATATATAGATATGGTTATTTGACTCACAGATGTCCTTGTCCCATACTGTTCACCATACTTTCGATTTTGGATTCGGCAAGATCTGGCCTCGATCCCCGGCAGTTTCTCCGGCAGGTCGGTGTCGTTCTCTGGTGGAGGCGGCTCGCCCTGGTGGAACATCGCGGTGTTTTTTGACATCGGAAATCAGAAATGGCGGGGTCATCTGGTTGGTGGTGCAATAACCATCTTGAAAAATATTAGTCAGTTGGGATGATTATTCCCAATATATGGAAAAATAAAAAATGTTCCAAACCACCAACCAGTCAATAGGAAGGTATATTAGTCAATGGGTTTATACGGGAAAATCGACGGGAAACTGTTTCTGGGTTTTACCATGATTTTTTGATCGGGGCTTCCTGTAGATTTCCGCATCAAAAAGTGTAAAACCAAAATGGTCCCAAATGGGAAGTTGACAAGTGGGACAAGGACATCTGTGAGTCAAATAACCATACAATGTGGTGCCCCCAAGATAGCTAAGTTGGTTTATAACTCTAATAACTAGGACTTATGGTAGATATATCTATAGTTAATGGGATTAAAAACCAACTTATAACTGGGGGGGCACCACCTTGTATCTATCATCTCTTTCAACTATAAATGGTCAACAGTATGGTTAACGTTAACATTAATGGTCAACATGGCTAAAACAAACCCGTTGTTAAACCATAAATACCATGAGCAGAGTATGTAATCATGAATATTTCTGGGGCTTACTAAACGAATAACCATGAATATGTCTGGTTCAACAATCTAGGCACATGATCACTTTATTGTTTATGGTAGTAATGGGGGCGGGTAAGGAATCATAAATAGTTATCATTAATCCAGAGTAATTATAATCGTGGTAGAATTCAACAGCTATATTTAGCAAAAAATGATAACCCGAAAACATGAGCAATTGCAACCCATCTTGTCGCAGAAGATGTTGACAAATATCTGGGCACATTACAGTGCTACAGATGATGGCCCGTAAAGGGTGACTATCTCCAAAATTGCTCTTTTGAGGTTTGTGTTCTATGTGCAGTGCGATGCTCATGTTGATGATGATGCTCAAATACAAATGATGGTGCCATCCAAAATCTCAGCTGGTTGAAAAGAGCTCCAACAATAAATGTGTGCAACAAAAACCCTAGCTGCACGGTTATAAGCCAAGTCAGGCATAAATACAGGTTAGTTAGCCCATTGGCATGCTATGTTTCTGGTCTTTGCTAAACAAAACTCTTCACTTTCAGGTGCACACACAGAAACATTCTCATCTCAATCAAATGCGCAAATATATAATCTGGGTAAAAGATGGTAAATGATAATATTTCACTAACCTGAATCTTGCGGCCATATTGGGATGATTTCCCTTACTAACCATCATTCCCAGGGCTCGGTCGTGACGTGAGGTCTTGATGAAATTTACCCAGATACAATGCATGCTTTGACACCGTTAAATCTACGGAAACTTTTCTGTCTAGCCGGTCTCCCCCGCCATTGTTGCTTAAGCCCAACACTTTGGTTGCGAATCCATGGTGTGTTTGTTGCTAACCCAGCACATACAGCATGGCTCATTCACAAAATGGTGCTTTGACCCTCAAGAGCAGTTGCAATTGCATTGTCCACCCGTAAATGTGTAATGTCCTTTTTTGGGTTGACTATTATTTTCAGCAACAAATTACCCTCTGGTAAACGTTTACATAACTATGGAAAATCACCATGCTATGGGTAAATCAACTATTTCTATGGGTCATTTTCAATAGCAAACTGGTTGTTTACCAGGCCGGGTAAATCCCAATAAATCACAATTTTTGTTGTTTTTTTATCCCATTAAACCACCATTAAACCACCTTTTTGAACCACCAATAAACCACCATTAAACCACCAATAAACCACCAATAAACAACCAATAAACCACCATTAAACCACCATTAAACCACCAATAAACCACCATTAAACCACCATTAAACCACCAATAAACCACCAATAAACCACCTTTTTGAACCACCAATAAACCACCATTAAACCACCATTAAACCACCAATAAACCACCATTAAACCACCAATAAACCACCAATAAACCACCAATAAACCACCAATAAACCACCAATTTTTTGAACCACCAATAAACCACCAATAAACCACCATTTTTGAACCACCAATAAACCACCTTTTTGAACCACCAATAAACCACCAATAAACCACATTTTTGAACCACCAATAAACCACCTAAACCACCACCTTTTTGAACCACCATTAAACCACCTTTTTGAACCACGATTAAACCACCATTAAACCACCTTTTTGAACCACCAATAAACCACCTTTTGAACCACCATTAAACCACCTTTTTGAACCACCATTAAACCACCTTTTTGAACCACGATTAAACCACCTTTTTGAACCACCATTAAACCACCTTTTTGAACCACCATTAAACCACCTTTTTGAACCACCATTAAACCACCTTTTTGAACCACCATTAAACCACCTTTTTAAACCACCAATAACATGATTAATGCTTATAAGTTATGGGTCAGTTCACCCCGCCTGCGGAGCCGTTGCAGGAGGTGGCGGGGCCACGGGCCTTGGCTTTGTCAAATAACCGTGGCTGGGAAATCTATGGAAATCTCCTATAAAATATGGGAAACCATAGAACAATCTAGAACAATCGCTCAGATGCTCCATGTATGGAATATTTACCTGACTGGGCCATTTTTGGGGTAAATATGGTAAATGTAGGTAAATATTCAAGCACCATGGAGCATCTGGGTAACGGAAAAAATATTGAACATTCCACTCTCTATGGCAGGTGATTTTTTCATGCCATGTTACAGGAGGGTAAACGGAATAACAACTAATTACCATGGCTTTGGTTCAATGACCGGATGGTATAAAATTTGGTAAACGGTATATATATATATTATATATTACATGTATATATTATATATATATTATATTATATATATTATATTATATGCAATATATCTATCTATATATATTTATATATATATACACCCTTTATTGTAAAATCCAATAGTTCATCATTGCGATGGATGATCATCTATATGATCCCCATACTTGATGAGTTTCTTCCGGCAATGTCCGGCCATGGAATTTTCAGCTCGACTTGCAGCTGACTAGCCATCATAAATTCAATGAGTTGTCCCTGATCAGACAGCTACACTTAAAGTCGATAGGTCCTTTTTCGCCATGGCAATCATGTACTTATGAAGTAAAATGATTCTGCAATTCAGGCAACTGTCATCCACATCTGCTGACAATTTCGAAAAACATGTTGGTCTGTCTGAAAACGGGGATCATAAATTTGGCAATTGAGAATCCTCTATAAATGGTGTTTCAATAGCCTCTGGTTATTCAACGTAGCGAACTGGAAATCACCATTTTTAAGAGGTAAATCATCATGTTTGTCACTATTTCTATGGGCCATTTTCCAGTTCGCTACGTTAAATAACCAGAGGGTAATTATTACCCATATGCTCCATGGTGCTTGAATATTTACACATATTTACCAACATTTACCCTATAAATGGCCCAAATGTAGATAAATATACTATACATGGAGCATATGGGTTACAAATGATTGATATTCCACTAAAGTATCAAGCTCCCCTGTCTATCGCACCATCTTCTGACGCGTTAGGCCAACGGGTGAAACGGGGCGCCAAAAGGGCGTTTTCGGAGTTTCTGATTTCGAGATATTTCGAGGTGCCTGGGATCCACCAAGATTTACACATTTAAATGGCCATAGCTATTGAAAATGGCCATTGAAATAGTGAGTTTTCCCCAAAAAAATGGTGATTTTCCATAGTTATGTTAGTTTTGATGACAACGCTGGAGAAAATCTTGGCAAAATTTTATGGAAAAGCCTATTTTCAGACAAATGCGCGTAGAAAATTGGCATGCTTTTTATGTCATGTTGTTTTGTGTTTTCTTCGTGCGGTGCCATTGTATTCGCACCCGAAATGAACCGGTCGTAGTAACATCGATTCATCAAGCCCTATCAAATAATTATCGATGAACAGGTTACCTCCAAGCTGGTGAGTATCTATGAACTTACTAGCCTTGACAGTTGAGTATAGTTGAGTATTGAACTTTCTATGGTGAACTTACTATGAACAGGTATGCTATAGACAGTTGAGTACCACAGAAATGGCACCGTCATGGGATCCTCGAGAGGTCTCGCAGCACATGCTCTGCATGGCTGCCATGGGACGACCAGGGACGGTCACGGCGCTAGAGCCCGTGACAAGTCTAACTTCAACGGGGAAAAGATGGGAAAATAATGGAAAATATGGAAAAATGTGGGCAAACAATCTAGATAAAACATTGATGATATGGGAAAATGATGGGAACATGATGATCAACATTGATATCATTGATCAACCATTCGATTTGGGGCAAACACATCCATTTCTCAGTGGCGGTTTCAACATAGAAGAAAAACACCCAGGGGTGGAAAAGGATACCTGACAGCTGTTTGTCTGTCAAAATAGTCTGCCCATAAATCCACTGATTACTCATAAATGTTCATTTTTACATGGCCATAAATGAGGGTATACTTCAGGATATACAACATGTTCAATCAAACTCGCTGAGGGTAGGGTCCCTATTTGAGGAGCTCCAGCAGTGTCATGTCACATCAAGAACCTTGACATCTCAAACGAAGAAACTTTCATATTGCAACCCAGCATAAGATTGCAACAAAGCATATGCATTTCAATATTATATAAATTATATACTTCTAAAATTCTACAAGTAGCTTTTTTGTGCCAGGGCTTCTGGAAACATGCTATTAAAAAAAAGACAACAACAACAACAACAAAATCTTAGTATCTATGAACTGTCATGAACTGTCTATAAGTATAGCAATGTTTCCACCGGGTTCCATTTGCGCGACGTGTTCACCGAAACCTCTTCCCTGGGGGCTTCCCATTGCGGTGCACAACTACCTCGAGAGACGAGGCTACGAAACGAGCATGCAGCTCCACATGGTCTGCCAGGAATCAGTAAGAAATCCATCATGGATCTAAACAAAAATCACCAACATGAAAAAGTAAGGCCATGTTTGACCAAATTCCAAGAATCCACCCAAACAAAGTAAGTTATAAATCCATACCAAATCCTGGTTTGGGATTTAAAAACAACCAATCTTTCTCACATTCCTTGGTGTTCATATGGTGTTGTGACGAGATGTGACGAGACTGTCTTCTGAAGGATTTCTGCCACACAACTGGAGCAATTCCACTTCACAAGAGGCACTTGACCTACGTATGCTTGGCCGCCATCTTTAACAATTAACAGCTACAAAGTGACACCTTACATACCCTTCCGAAAAGTTTTGAAATTCGCCGTGCATTACAGCCCTTGTATGATTTATATTTCCCATGTGCGGCCCAAAACCGGCCAATGTTAACCCATACCTTGTAACACCCGTCTACTCAGAAGATCAAAACACTAAGTCCAAAAAGTCTGGCAGATCATGCGGACTTTAGGCGATGCAAAGTGTGTCTCCATTCGGAGACCCAGTGCGACTACTAATTTGCAGCTCTAATGGCCGGCATCGAATGACTGGACGTGATAACTTTGGCGCTGAACACATCCTCAGTGGGTGGAATGGGGCACCTCAAGCATCCTCAAGCAAAAACAACCGAGGGTTGTTGGTGGCTTCAACCTATCAAATACATGAATGTCAGTTGCGATCATCATATGTCATTAATTGAAGATACTTAACGGGGAAATCACAACAAACCAGCAAGGCTTAAGGTGGAATGGCTAATCCCCTGCAAAATGCACCTGTTGAAACCGGGCGAATCCCACTTCCCCCAAAAGGTTTTCCAGATTAGATGCGCAACGTAATCTCAAATCCAGGTTTTATGACTTAAAACCAATCACTCAGGAGTTTCCTTGTCCTGAAGCCCGGCACAACCTCTCGCAAAGGCCACACCCTTAACAATCAGGCCTTGTGAAGTTGTTGGAAAGCATTCCTGACCCCTGTCAAATAAGAATCTATAATTATTCTTTTGAGGAGGCACCTTTGGGGCAAGGTGGGCAGTAGGGAGCGCCATGCTGGCAACTCTTCGCAGGGTTCCACCGTTCCACCTGTGCACCGGGAACGTGGGGACTTACCACCCACAAATCCACATCGATACAAACTGGGGTCGCGAAAAAATTATAAACCTCATTAACTATACTTAGAATTGCATAGCATGGCCAAAAACCATACCCTCTGGTGAACTAACATAGCTATGGAAAATCACCATGCTATTAATGGGTAAATCCACTATAAATGGTCATTTTCCATGGCAATGTTAAATTACCAGAGGGTAGATTCTTACATGATTTAGAATTCAACATAGCCATGGAAAATGGCCCATTTATAGATGGTTTACCTATTGAAAATGGTGATTTCCCATAGTTATGTTAGTTTACCAGAGGGTAATTATTGGAGTTGATAAACCCATGGAAAACCTCGGCCAAGCATCGCTCTTCATCAGGTTTTCCAACCTCAGCGACCAACTTATCAGACTGGCATCCTGTGGCATTGGAGCCACCTACATTGGACACCCCAAAAAACGCCTTACCCTCTGGTAAACATACAAAAAACTATGGAAAATCACCATGTTTCATGGGGAAATTCACTATTTCTATGGCAATTTTTCAATAGCAAACTGTAACAAATTACCAGAGGGTAATGTGGCGAAACCAATAATCAATCTCCTATACCACTCATTCCTGGTCAGATTGGAGTATTTCTGGCTTTGCCATGTTAAAACCTATGGCACACGCGTACCCTACTGTCCCTACTTTTAGAATCAGTAAATAGTAGAGGAAGAAATCGAACGGCCCTGATTGAAACAGCAACCTTGGCTCAAAGTCGTCCTGGTTTGCCCAAATTATTGTAGAATTTTGTGGATCCTGTTGCGAAATCCTGCACCAATTGGTAGATGGTAAACATCCCCGTATAAGTATAATCCCATTCTGATCCCAATGTTTCCTAGGAATCCCAACAGGCATCCCAACTGGTGCAGGATGGTTTGATAACCCACAATATCTACAATATCTTACAATAACATTACACACACAGCTATATAGATACATATTTTTCTATTTATATCGTATATCATATCATATATCACATATATATATATATGTATACAAGTATCATAAATATATACACATCATATCATCATATATATGTAGAATTTATATAAATATATATATATATATATATCAGGCCATATCATAACTATGCCATATCAATCTCTACCATCATCCCACGTTAAACTCCGCCTTTTCCGCCAGGCGACTTGGACTCCAACTTCTTGGAATCGAAGGCCGAGGCGATACGCTGCCTCAGAATCTCCGTCTTCACCGCCTCGCGCGCCTTGTAGGCCTGGCCGTTGGACCCATAGAAGCGCCGTTTTTAACGGTGCAAGGTGGTGCCCCCCCAGTTATAAGTTTATAAAGCCCATGAATACTATAGTTATATCATGTGATAAATAAACCATAAATCCTAGTGAAATTGTAGTTATGTTCACCAACTTAGCGATTCCGAACTGGGGCACCACCCAACGTAGATATCAATGGATTGGTGGGAAAATCTACAGGAACCCATGGATTTTACCATGAAATTGATCGGGGTTTCCTGCAAAATTTCCCACTATCCAATTCTGTGAAGATACCATAGTGGGTGATTTAGAGTGACTATGGGTGATCTATAATATTAGTTTATATCATCTATAATGACTATGATTCAAAGTTGATCATCCAGCATATATTTTTTGGATTTAAACCATAAGTCAACTATAGTCAAATATATATATATATACCATAAACCATAAATCATGAACCAGAGTGGAGTTATGTTTGCCAACCAAGCTATCATTTGGGGAACCACGCGTTTTACCAGAAATCACCATAGTCATCCATAAATTGAAATTACTGCTTGGTGAAACACAAATCTAAGGAATCATGTCATGGGTATGGGTACTGTAGCAATCCTTTCCCTAACATCCACATTCAATTACACTTTGTGAGTGCCATGATTCATCTCAACTTCAGAAGCATCACCTCAACATTAATAAAAAAAACATCACTGCCCCAAATCATTAATCATTACAACAATCCTTGAACATCAATTATTGTGAGCAAATCAAGACTCATCCTTCCCAATCGAGACTCTTTGCCATCATTATGTTTCATACTGGTCAGGTTCAAAATTCACCAACTTAATATCCCATTCTCCTAGTTTATTGATAGAGGGTGCCATTTTTCAAAATAGTAACTTGGACTGGTACCCATCCAATTACTATGAAAATACCTGTTAATGCTACTAGTTACCTATTGGATTCTTGGGTAAGAATTGATAATACTAATAGGGGTACCAACCTATTGGGTACCTGTCTTGGCGGGTTTCTTATTGGGTTGCCCACATATAATCATCATTCACCAGTGTTCACTATTACTTAACCATTTTAACCGTTGTTTAACCATTATTTAACAGTATTTCACCATCGAAAAATCGTACAAAATCATTATTGGATCATTATCTAGCCATTAAAACTAAAACCAGTATTTAACCAGTATTTAACCATTATATCTGGGTAAATTATAATATTTCACTAACCTGAATCTTGCGGCCATTTGGGGATGATTCCCCTTACTAACTATGATTTCCAGTGAGGTCGCAGTGAGGTCGTTATAATTTACCCAGATTATATACTTAACCATGATTTTAACCATTATTTTACCAAGTTTAAATCCCTTCAGGGCGCCTCCGCTTGCGCGGCGCGGCGCAGCTCCCACATCCTCTGCCGCTCGGCGTTGAGTTGATCGATCTTCTCGTCCTGCCGTCGTGCGGGCAATAAACGTTGGGGGGAGGAGGTTGACCAAAACCATAGGAAAATGGAGGTTTAATGGTGGTTTAATGGTGGTTTAATGATGGTTTAATGGTGGTTTAATGGTGGTTTAATGGGATAAAAAACCAACAAAAATGTTAATTTTAATGGGATGTAGCCTCTGGTAAACATACAAAAATGCCATTGAAAATGGCCCAGTCGAAATAGTTGATGACTACCCATTTTCATAGCATGGTGATTTTCCATAGTTATGTAAACGTTTACCAGAGGGTAATCATGAAAGGGATGTGATCAAAAATATCCCTTACAAATACTGGAAGTCATGGAACAGAAATGGAAAGTCATGGGGATATGATCAAACATACACCAAACATACATGAAAATACTGGAAAATCAATGGAACAGAAATGGAAAATGATGGGATATTAATGATATGATCACCAAAATTATGCAACATGATAATGATATTGGGATATTTTCAAAAATACATTAAACATAATAGGATATGATCAAACGTTAAAACAGAAACAAGAAATAGTAAACACAATTAACAGTATTTAACATCTCAGAAATACAAAACAATAAAAAACAACACCATAGCAAAACCCATGATCACGTGTGAGACATTCGAGGCTCTGGACTTGTTATCTGACCGTCTCTGGGGTAATGTTGAACCTCTATCTATCACCTAAGGTTCAGCCACAATCTGGTCCTAAAATAGGGCATTCCAAGATCCAAAGATCTATCATGAATCCTGACTATTTTTTAAAAAATAGTACATATCTAGGCTTGCAAGCGTTCTTTGATGCCTCTCATACAAATTTTATCATCCCATATTGCATCTACCCCACCCCATATTTGGTGATTTTATACACCCAGAAAAAATACCCCATCATTTCCATCCCCGGGCCACGGTCAGCCAGCGCCTTCTTCTTGACCGAGTCCGCGATGGATTCGCGCTCGTGCTCCTCGCGCCGTCTCTGGCGTTCCACGTTGATCTCCTTGTTCTTGGAGCGTAAGCCTCGGCGGATCCGGGTGGATCCAGCATGCAATGCAGGGTGTATGCTATAGGGTGAACATGTGATTGTTTCTCCGCATAGGGACTTAAAGGGCCATAGGCTGTTTTTTATTTGGATAACCCTTTGATACAGATGTTTATGATGATGAATCGCTAGGGGTACGCCAGTTGCAGCCATGTTTGAACCAAGAAGACTATAGGTATGGCACACATCCACGATGGGACCGATAGGACTTGCTAAGTGGGATCCACCAGGGACGGCGACAGGGTGCCCAATCTGGGATTTCTGTGCAATCATGTGGAACATCTGCAGTGCCCTCCAGTACTTAAATCAATGGCCATTTCAGGAACCGATTTATTGGAGGTACCTACCATCTATAATAAGGTCTATGTAAGGGGCTATGTAAGGGAATATCCCCACAAAATATGGCCTTATATGGTACAGTACCTCCATTTTAGGATCCTGGAATTCCCATTGATTAAACACGGCAATGGGAAGTACATGCGCACTTAAATCATAAAAATGATCTATATACATCTATATGCAAACGATGTTTCATAGCCATGTTTGATAACCAGAGGGTAAATCCAAAGTCTGAAGTCTGATCAAAAGCAAAATTTGATGATCTCTGATATTCTTTGATGGTTCCCCCAGTCTTAACCATCCTTTTTTTATGGTGCCCATGGTGAGGGGCGCTTGCCCAAAACTGTAATTCCAGGCAAGCAACCGTCCAGCTCGCGCTTGAAATCAAGGTATCTTTCCTGCGCTAGGTGATTGATATGAGCTCAAATGGTTCATGGTGAGAGACTCAAAACCTTTGGTAAAAATGGCATAATTCTGCAGCAAATTGAGGCCATACAAAAACTACCCCACACCATCTATAGCCAAAAAGAATAGTGAGTAGTTACTGTAGTTCAGCCGTAGTTCAGTGGGTTTTGGTTCATCCCAGTGATGCTTCCACCATAGATCAGCATAGGTTGACAGGTTCAAAATGCGTTGCGAAGCATAGAGATACAGCAGTTGTACACTCAGTTTCTTGTCCATACTTTTCGAACACCACATTCACCCTCTACTATATTGATATACACTTTGAATCCATGGTAAGCATTTGGGTTCACATCCCACCCGTACAAGTTTATAGATTTGTTCAAACTTGTGCCCCAAAAGACTTGACAATCTTGACATAGACTCCCTCAATAAATGGCTTTGGAATATGTCTCTTTTTTTCCAATGTGTTCCCAATGTGGTGGAAAACCCCATGAGCCCTGGAAAAAACCACCGCACAACTCAAGGCCTTGGTGATTCTCGACTTTCTGGTCCTAAAGATGTTAATATCGCTTTTTTGTATGGCCATTTTGGAATTACATCAACCTTTAGCAGTGACTATGGCCATTTTGGGATTATATGATATTTCTTGAATTTTATTGATATTTACATTTAAAACATGAGCCGAAGAAAATAAACATTAAAAAAGCCTCTTCCGAAAACCGCAAATGACCAAGGCATTCCATCCGATCCCGACAGCCGCCAACCTTCTTGGCTTCATGTTCCATGAGTCGGTATTCCGTCTCCTGTAGCTGGTGGGTCATCTCGAAATCTGGTGGAATTGACGCCAAGGAAACGGGGGTTTTCTGCCATGGTGGCAAAGCCACCATGGCAGAACACCCAATTTTCATCCTTATACCCTCTGGTTGTTGAACAGTTCGCCATGGAAAGATCCACCCATTTTGAAGTTCGGTAAACCATCTATTTCGATTAGGGCCATCTATACCATGGCTATGTTAGTCATAACCAGAGGGTATATGATATTTATTGATATTTAATAGGTACATCATGGTACATCATCTATAAATGGGTCATTTCTCATAGCTATGTTAAATAACCAAATAACCAGAGGGTATATACTTTCTGTGTTTGGCTACATCATGCTACATCTTCTGCCAAGGTCATGCCCCGTCCCAGTTCCGCCATGCCCTGCCTCTTGCTGATCCAAGATGGCGCTCCGTCGCTCTTCAGCTCGTCGCATGGCTTCCTATGGAAGATATATAAAGGGATTAACCTTTGATAACCAACCATAATGCAAATATATTGGACATGTAATGAGATATAGTGGGAATATACATATATATATATACATAATTATATATAATAATACGTAACAATATATATATATATACAATAATTATTCATATATAATTATATATAATATAATATATAATACAGTATATATCAAGGATATATCATTGATGATTTTAGGAATACGTGGGATTATGTGGGAATGTAATGAATGTAATGAATGTAATGAATGTAATAGGTTATATCCTCCAGCAAACCTGCCAGTCAGTTATGGAAAACCCCATGGTTTGTCGAAATGCCTCGTGTTTTCTATATCTATGTCGCGCAACATGGAGGGTACCCTCTGGTAAACATACAAAAAACTATGGAAAATCACCATGCTGTAAATTTTTCAATAGCTAACTGTAACAAATTACCAGAGGGTTTTTTCATCAACTAACAACCCATCGAATTCACCATTTGCATCCATCAGATCAGAAAAAAATAACAAAAACAACGCGGGGCGTGCCTGATTCGATTATGATTCAAAAAATAAATATGCACTCATGTTCAAACTAAAGGGGCAATGCAGGTTGTAGATCTCCAACTATTCAGAATACGTCGGACACCTCCGACTTCGAAAAATCTCGCGGAATCTCAACCGTGCCTCCTTGATCATCTGCCGCTTCATCAGCGTGCGGAACTGCTTCTTGGCCGTTTCTTCAGAACCTGAGCGTCCGCGGGACCAGGGTTTGACAAGAGATTTATAGATGTTTATACTGAATCCTGTGATGGACTGATGCGCGGGCGCGATCATGTGAAAAAATGTGGGGTGCAGATTTTTGTTTTTTCGTTTTTTTCTTTTTTTTTTCAGTCTGGGGCACTTTTCCTTGCTATTTGCTACATTTTGGAGCAAAAACCTGTACTTTGCTGAATTTTGGAGCTAAAATGTGCCATTTGCCCTGTTCATCGATTTTTCCATGGTTTTAGCCGGTTTTTCCATGGTGTTCGTTGATTTACTTAAAGTTTTCATTGTTTTTTCCATAGTTTTCATTGAGTTTTCCATGGTTTCAATTGATTTTTCCATGGTTTCGATCGATTTTTCCATGCACAACATGCACCTGGTGAACATGTAGAATATAGGTTGAGGCACAACCGTGTTGGGTCTAAATAGTGGCATTGGATGCTATCATAGTGTTGGTTGGTTTAGGGTTTATTTAGGGTTGGTTTAGGGTTTATTTAGGGTTGGGTTAGGGTTTATTTGGGGTGGGTTTATGGTTTATTTAAAGTTTGTTTAAGGTTTATTTAGGGTTATTTAGGGTTGGTTTCGGGTTTGTTTAGGGTTGGTTTAGGGTTGATTAGGGTTAGTTTAGGGTTTAGTTAGGGTTGGTTTAGGGTTATTTTATTTAGGGTTGGTTTAGGGTTTATTTAGGGAAGGTTATGTTGGGTTGGTTTATGGTTGGTTTAGGGTAATTTAGGGTTATTTAGGGCTATTTATGGTTATTTAGGGTTGGTTTATGGTCGATGTAAAGTCTGTTGAGGGTTGGATTAAGGTGCATGTAGGGATACAAGGTGTGTGTATAAAGATAGATTGATAGATAGATTGATTGATTGTTTGATTGACTGATTGATAGTCTGATGGATTGATAGATTAGATAGATTAGATAGATTAGATAGATTAGATAGATTAGATAGATTAGATAGATTAGATAGATTAGATAGATTTGATAGATTAGATCGATTGGATAGATTATATATACAGCTTGGATAGATTTGATAGATTTGATAGATTAGATAAAACAAGATAAAACACGATAACATGAGATAAAATTAGATAAGATTAGATTAGATTAGGTTTGATTAGGTTAGATTAGATAGATAGGTAAAGCATGGTAAAGCCACAAAAGCCACAGAAGCCACCGAAGCCACAAAAGCCAGGCTGGGAAACAAAAAAAACAAAACAGGAAAAAAACACGAAAAAAATAACCCTCTGGTAATTTAACATAGCTATCGAAAATGACCATAGAAATAGTGGATTTACCCATTGATAGCATGGTGATTTTCCATAGTTATGTTAGTTTACCAGAGGGTAGCCCTTCAAAAAAATGTGGGTGAAATCTGAAAACCGGAAGGATTTCACCAGATTTTCTGAGGTCCCCGATAGATCACTTTTCAATCTTCTCGATCAAAAGAAACGGAGAAAACACGGAGAAAACATCTGCAGAAACACATCATACACCGATGTGGTTGGGAAACTATGGGAAACTTGAATATAATTCTTAGCTCCTTGGCTCAGCTCTAATGTGGAAACGGTAACAGCTCGTCCCAAAATCGCGGATGTACTGTGACTCTCAGGTTTCATGGGCGAACTTACTATGAAGGTATCCCCCCCTTGCAATGAACTGGGGCCTTGTGGTTGATTAATCCTCAGAAACATTGACTAACACTCTAAAACCAATTTTCACATTGAATAAATATCCACTTCATAAGTTCAAAAGGCATATTTTTGATTCACATTTAGATATTTAGTACCAAAACATCGACCATTTTCTTCATCGGCATCAAAACTTTTCGAACAACATCGCCAGGTCCGTGGATCGAGCCGAGGCAGCCGAGGCACGTCGCGCGGCCTCGGCCATCAGACGCTCCTCACGGACCATGTCGTCCATCTGTTTCTTCTCGAAGTCGTCGCGACGTTTCTGCTCCAACTCCTGGTTCACTGGATTGGTTTAAGGGAAAATCTACAGGAAACCATGGTTTTGACCATCAAATTGATCGGGCTTTCCGGTTAAAATTTTCCCATCATCCAATTCTATGACTGGTGGGGATGAGGCCCCATCTGGAGGTGATTTACTATGATTTACTGATACCTCGGGAGCCTTGGCAGGGAAAAAAACAGATTTGAAATCTGAAATAAATGAGGTTCGCTCAAGAAAATGAAGGAGATTTCTGATGTTTGAAGTATATTCTTGCGTAGAAACCTCACCACCTTGAACCATTCAGAATTCCATGGGGGTTTTCCAAAACAGCAGTGAAACATTAATCAGTGCAGTGATTTCTGGGCATTGGCCATGACAGGTTTTTCGACAGGTCCTGATTGGCCAAGATGCTGTTGTAGATACCTTGGGGCTGGCCATGCCGCAGTCGGTCAAGTTGTGAACATCAAAAAAAACACGGACAGAATTGACAGAATCAACCTCGCTGCAACTGATTAGTCTGATTAGTCAGTTGGGATCATCATCATCATCATCATCATCATGTTTCTAGGCTTGAATATGTCTTTAAACCACCACTAAATCAACTAATAAGGAATTCAACACTAAAGCCACGGACTACAGAGTGGATTAGACACCTTGGGATGTTCACATAGCCATAGCCGGCCATAGCCATTATCTCAAGTTCCCGAGTGTTTTGATAGCTGGAACAGCAGCACAAAGCGCTGTTACGACCATATTCCTGATCCATAAATTGGTGGAAACAACATGCGAAGAATCTGGCTCATCATGGTCATTGGAGAGTATAGTAAGAACTTCTAGTAAGAACACTTAAGCTTCATCAAGTTTCCACAAGTTTCATCAATTGTTTCTCTCTCCAGGTTGGATCCATCTTCAACCTAAAGGTGCGATTTGAATCTCTACAATGTGAGGCCCCCCAGTTATAAGTTGGTTTAGATTCGCCCCAGTAACTATAGTTAATTATTTGCGTACCATAAACCGTAGTTATTGGAGTTATGTTCACCAACTTAGATATCTAACGGGGGCCTCACATTGTATAGTTACCATTTCTTTCCGTATTCCCAAAAAAATCTAAGATACTGTCAAATCTGGATCCAGCCAGGGGATCTGCACAAGCCAACCCCATTCCGTTCCAAGCAACGCATGTCTCGCGCTTCCTTTCGTTCTCGGAGCAGGTCCTTAGCTACTTATGCCATATTGAGGCGAAACAACCATCTCAAATCATCGGGGGTTCCATGACCAACTAAAACACAAACTAAAACACTCTCTGAGATGGGAAAATCATGGATTTTTTTCAAGAAATTTGGACCTCAGAAGCTCCAAGCCCAGTATAGCTTGGATTCCTTGGATGGATCATGGCAGCGCAGCCAAGACTCCTGGAACTGCTCCTGTTTTTGTGCCATCAAATCTGTTCGTCTTTGGTCCTGCGCCATCCAGTGGCACCAGTGGCATTGCTATTGCTATTTGAAGAGCCCTGATGGAAAAAATGCAAAAGAACATACTGTAAATATATGGTTCATACTAATGGTTATTATATGGTTAATGATGGTTAATAATCATCTGGTTGGTGGTTTCAACCAACCCCTCTAAAAAATATGAAACTCACTTGGGATGATGAAATTCCTAACTGAATGGAAAGTCATAAAACATGTTCCAAAGCACCAACCAGAACATCAACAATAGAAATCATTGGAAATCTGAAGTATCAGCAGAGTCAACAAATGTTGACCGCATCTTCGACATCTTCATTGAATGGTATGTCTTTTTTCCGTCATGTCCAACTCCTGCTGCCTATGCCGCGCCTGCGCTTTCATCTCATCCTTTCTGGCTTGGAGGTCCTTAAACTCCTGACGTCGGCAACGTCTGTAAGGCTAGTACACTGCAACCGAGCACAAAAATGAATCTTTTGGGTGCGGCATCTCGCAAAGGCGCACTCGATGCATAGATCATATCATCACTTCTCCATACTTTTCCCATGTGAATTCAAACTTGACCACCAAAAAAGAACAATGCTCACATATTCTTCACATATCTTCACCGTTCAGAAGCCCCAACCCATATGCTCCATGGTGCTGGAATATGAATACCAACATTTACTCTATAAATTTCCCAGTCATGTAGGTAAATATACCAGCACCATGGAGCATATGGGTGATCTTTTGCTGGTTGGAACCTCCCCCGGTCTCCGACCCTGGAACCTCCCGCCTGCTCGCGCTTCTCGGCCTTCTCCCGCTCCATCTCGCGCTTGCGCTCGGCCTCACGGAGCTGACGTTCGTAGGCCTCCTTCTGCCGCTGCAACTCCAGCTTCCTGGGACGCGACGGGGACGATGTGGGAAACAACATGTATCACCGGTGAAACATGTATCAAAACCGGTTAGAAAAAACTATGAATCCCCGAGACTGTAGGTAGACATGCATCATTCACATTTTAATGACATGTGACATGTGCACCGGTGTATATATACTATATATATGTGTGTGTACATGTGTATATATATAATTATATATATATGTATATATCCAGATATATGTGTGTATGTCATGTTGAATCAATTCAATACAGAAGATATGCCGAGAAAGGCTGCTCAGGATGCAAAGTGGCGTGTTTTACACTCTGTCAAACTGTGCATGCTTGCAAGATCTTATCTTTCTACATGCACTAGACATGCGCATGCGCGCAAACGAGTGTCTGCTTGTTCTTCATCTCCAACTGCTGCTTATGAAACCTCGGCGGACAAGTCCCAGCGGCATTCAAGAACAATCTAGTCCAATGACTATAGCTGAGAAAATCTTTATCTTTTACTTGAAGTGTTGTCGTTTTTTGGCAATTCGAAACATCTATTAAAACAATATCACAGCACCTCTAGATTCTCCCAGTGACATCTGTGACCCCCAGGGACCAAGTAGCTCTTCCTTGGCCAACTGTTTCTCCAACTTCTGCCGCGCTTCCATCTCCAACTGCTTCCGTTCCTCCTCCGCTGCGCGCTTGTCGTTCAACTCCTGGCGATGAAAAATGAAAGGTGAACAAAGGGGGCCACAGAGAGTCGTGATGAGATGCGGCTTGGGCGGGACCGGTTTGAAGAGGTCTAAAGTCGTATATACCTTTCAATGATATAAATATAAATATAAATGTGTAAATATATATATATAATTATATATATATATATATTCATATGCATATATATAGAGAGAGAGATAGATGCATTCACGCAATTAGCTACCTCTGAACTCCGACAAAATCAGCAATTCCTGGCTGTCACTACCATAAACCAACCAGGGGTTGATGTAGACATCAGCCGCCACCGCCCTGGCCGCCCCGGCCTTCATCTTCCGCGAGTGTTCGCGCATGGCATCCTCCTGATTGGCGGCTTCGTTGCTGAGGAACTGATTCGCCGACTCCAGCTGCTTCCTTGGGACATGGATGGTTTGATAGGTAACAAGAAAGGGCATGGCTTAGGATAAAAAAGGAGAATGACATATGAATGACATGGGATCCAAGATGGAACTAGAAAAACACCAAGCATCTTCTGAATGGACTGACTATAGTTTTATGATAGTTTTATTGGGGGACGCTGCAGGAACACCAAATCACCAACCAGATTGGTGAAATCCCGCAGCAGTTCCAACGGTCCAATGGTCCAATGGTCCAATCAGCAGATTCAGAGGATTGAAGAATTCACAGTACTATGGTGATTGGAATTCACAGTACTAATGGTTATTGGAATACTATGGTGAATCAATTCCAATCGTCTTTTTTTGCCATTTTAACCTCAGAAATACGATCCGGGGAAACGATGGGGCTGGGAAGATGGACAAGTGATCCATTTGAAGGGACCCCCAAAAATGAAGAGATTCTATAAAACTGGGGGAACCGCAACAGGCACAAACAAGCGAAGCTTTGATCCTTTTTCGGCAGACACGTGACCCCCATTTGGATCGTCCTTAGCTTCCAGGCTTGCCTTGAGTCATGTAGCGAGCGAGCAATGAGATTTCACACCGCCCATACTTTATCGAGCTAACATGACTAGCAGCAAATCGTGCTCTTCACGTTGCCTGGAATTTCCTTCTTCGGATAGCGACCAGTATCCTTTGTTACAAACATGTCTTAAGAAGCTAGAATTCATCCTTTTGGTCATTGGATCGGTAATCATGTTAGTTCCTGCGACCCATCGCAGACTTCCGCTGGTGCGATTCATGTCATCTTTGAGAATGGCGAGATCGATGGCAGTTCGCTTGTCCTCCACCTGAGAGAAAGTGCAGACCAGCTTGTTGATGCAATCATAGAGGGACCTGGAGTCCACGACGGAGATGTAGGGAATGCTGGTGAGTTTCTTTTCCCATTGGTGGTCCTGCATGTTGTTTCCCATGAGCTCCAGAAGAAGAAAACGATGCCAGTGAATTTGACCTACGCCATAAATCAGTGCCTGGCATTCGGCGCTGAGAGTATTGACTGTTTTTCTCTTTAATTTGGTTGATTTCCATGACGTCACTGAAACCATGTGCGGTTGCTTCTCGGTTTCCATCCGCTTGTCATAAAACATCATGATAAAACCTCCTTGGCTGCTGCAGTTGAGGAGCTTCAAAAATGTGTCGTTGATTTCACCGGCTGCTAGCTCGTGGCCGGCTGGCTGTTTGCCGAAGTAGGTGGCTCCGGTCCATGAGGTTTCGTTCCACATTCGTATGCTATTGCCTTTTGTCCATTCATCTTCCAGAACTTCTCCTTGTCCGCTCACGGTGCGTCGTCCAGGTTGTAGTCCATGTAGTTCTGGTCCATCTGTAGCTCCTGGATGGAACAGTGTCCTCCTTGGTGTCACATGGTGTCGGATCCAGTGAGTTGAAGTTTCTTCCCAAAAATCCTTTGAATTCTCTTCTAATTTGTCTTTGTCTTTTGAGTTTGCCCATGAGGCATCCGTTGCCACCCCAACTCGCAAATTCTCGGGCTTGATGGGCATGATTTTTATCCCGCTCTCGGGATATTTCTTGGCTTCTGCTGTGATCGTATTGGCTTCCACAAGGTCTTTGACTCGTGGTTTCGGAAAGGCTTGTTGTAGTAGAGCAACACGTCCTGCAAGGTCAGGGCGGCTTTCTTTCGATAGCCATGATAGTGCTCCGATGCTGGCACGGAGTTGAGAGATCTCGGGATCTGTGCAGAAGCTATATCGTTGTCGTTTTCGGCATTTCTGAATTGGAATTTCAAACAATTTCTCTGCGACATAGTGGGCTTGACTCACCTCGATGCTGTAGTCTTCCTTCTGTTCGAAGTACTTGCCCGTGAATTTTCCTTTGTCAAATTGATACTTCCCAAGCTTGTAGTGTTTCCTGATTTCGGCCATGGCTTCCAAATGTTCTTCATCACCTCCGTGTAGTAGGTCATCTGTAGCGACTGCGATTAGTCCACTGAGATTTCCTTTCTTGTTGATCTTGTAGTATATACACGGGTCGGCGAGAGACTGACGATAGCCGAGTTTGGTTGTGAGGAACTTTTGGAGGTGCAAGAACCACGCCAATGGGCCATCGGTCAAACCATAGCAAACCTTCTCAAGCTTCAGGAGTTGTGCTGGTGAAAGTCCGGGAATGCCTTCTCGAGGTTGCGTGGCATAGATTGTCCGCTGTATGCGGTCTCCTGAATGGAAGGCTTGTGTGAAGTCTAAAAAGCCGAGTCGCCAACAAAAACTGGCTATCAGCTGTGCCACAGTGAGGGTGCCTTCTCTGGTGACCTGAGGAGTGGCAGCTTCGATTTCATCGGCTCCTTCTTCTGAGTATCCTTTCATTACATGTCTGGCCTTTGCTTTGCATGGTTCTCCATCTAGATCTCCAGGTTGTCGATCTAGTAGAAGTCCTTCTTGACGTGCAGGTTCGACCTCATGTGGTTCTAGAGGTTTTGCGGTCAGTACGAGCCTGCTTTCCATGATCTTCTCCGGCATTGTTTGTCGTATGCTGGCTGATTCTTCTACGCTCAATGCTCTGTATGCTCCGATCTCTGTGTTGTTCTTGAACTCCTTCTTGATTGCCTGGTCGAAGCACCTTCTACTCTTCTCGTCCAGCGCTTGATACCTCATTTCTTTCTTTTGTCTGCTTTTGAGGAGACTTTCCACCTTGGCAAAGTATATCTCCAGGTACTCGGTGCGGGATCTCTTTGTAGATGGTTCGTCCTGCTGGTCTTCTTCGTTTCCTTCATGTTCTCGCTTGTGAGTTTCATCCATATGTTGGTCTTCCTGAATATCTGGTAGTGGAGCTGGAACGGAAGGATCTTGAGCAGGTACTTCTGGTTGTAGATCCTCATAGTCAGGTGGTTTGACGGGTCCGAAAGCTTGTGGTCCTTTCGTTCTATACCTTTTGATTGGCATGTCAAACTTGGTGTTTTCTGAGTTGTCTCCGAGGACTGGGAGCTCCTCCTGTTCAGACGCTATTGAAGGTTCATAGCCGTCAGATTCCTCTACTTTTCGTTCTTCTTCTTCTGGTGGTAGTGGGTGTTCTGACAAGTCAAGGTAGCCCTTGGTCGGCTCGGTGAGGAAGTCCTTTTTCATGTTCACGATGTCTTCCAACCATCCAGAGATGGTTAGATTCTCCTATGCACTGGCTCTTCGGGTTCTTTCAGGACTGGCTTTGATCAGATATCCCCGATGAGCAAGCCACAGTGTACTAGGTTGATCGATCATGACAACCCTGGCTGGTCCTTGCCAATATCCTGGATGAAATTTGAGCTTCTTGTCGGCGCCCATGCGGTAGAAGTAGACCATTTCGCCGATCTCGAACTCAGTCAATGGCCTCGGACCGCTGGAAATAGCTCTTCGGAGGGCATCGCTGGCATCGGCCTCGACAAATGCTGTTGCTGCGGCCTTCCTCATTTTCATCGATCTTTCAATTGAAAGGTCGCCTACCTTTGGATTTGGGTCGTGTGATCGAAGATCATGTCCACCGCTGAGAATATTACCAGGAATGTTTGGATTAAATCCAAGGACTCGTTGGCAAGGGCTGTATCCTCCTACTGACATCATGCGGTTCTTCATCATGCATGCTGCTCCCACTAGTTCTTCCCATTCCTTCATGTCTGAACAGCTGAAGGAATCCATCGATTTGAGGAGGATAAACTTGAAGCTTTTGCCATGTCGTTCCGTGATTCCTCGTTGCTGGGGCATCTCAACGGCTGCTGGGTCGATGTAGCTACCATCGGCTTCTGCTTGTGCTGCAAATTCAGCACGGAACTCCTTGCCGAGGTCAATTGCCACCCGCTTTGGTGCTCCAAAGATTCTTGTCCAATGTCTGTATCCTTCACGGATGTGTTGTGGTTTCTTCCCCAGCAAGGGTACGACCAGTTGGAATTTCGAACTCCAATCCACGATGTTCAAAGAAGGTCGTGTTTTGCCCCCTAAAGTGGGGAGGTACACGACATCCACGCCGACGCACTCATTGAACTCCAGTTCCTTTGGTGGTGCGCTTCTCCTTGCCGGCTGTGTTTGTCTATGTCTTTCACAGACGCTGCATTTCATGTTTCTAGCTGCTTCTATGATCTCTGGTTTGGCCTTGGCATATCGCAAGATTCGGAGGAATCTCTCTTTTGAAGGGTGTCCGAGTCCTTCATGGGCTCTCTGAAGCAGCCTGCTAAGATTAAACCTGCTCGCCAGAGGCAGGTCTTTCTCTTTCTCCTTGTCTGGTACTGGAAGAACGGCAGCTGGATGTCCGTCGGATACACAGGGACCTCTGGGTTCTTTATGGCGTCGAAGGGCTTGAGGTCCTCCAGGTACTTTAGAATCTTGACAAACGTCATCACGTGCAGATACGTTAGAATGATGTTGTTCCTTGGGACCTGCAGGTTCTGAGGGATCTGGACATACTTGATCACCTGGTCTTTCATCAGGAACATGTGGTTCTTCTCCAGGATCCTCTCCAAATTCCTCCATGATTTGTTCCCAGTTTTTTTCCTGGTGAAGTACTTCCCACTCGATGCGAAGGAGGTCATTGATTTTCTCGTCTTCCTCATAGATTTCTTCTAAGGTATGAACTTGAACTTTTCCAGCAATCGTCTCTTCGTAGGCCTTGAGAATGGTCTCCTTCAGTTGTTCCGGGTATTGTTGGGCCTTTGCTGACCGGTTTCCTCCGATAATCATCTCATGTCGATGGGTGCCGTCGCACTGTCGTCTCAGAGCTGTTGATAAGTGTTCGGAGTTGGTTAGAAAACCGGTAGATTTCCGTTGTGGTTGCCCGCTTTCTCCCTTGAGGCCGTAGCAGCATTGATCTGCCTTGGACATGAAAGTAGTAGGGTTACGAAGTAGTCGTTCCATGGCACGATGTTTCCAGGAACTTGCTGAAAATGGGTGCTCGAACAAAAAGGTGATTCCAAGTTCAATGCAAAGTTCACAAACTGATATTGCAAAAAGGAGAAGTTGGTTACCCTCATGTTTCTTTTTCAAGTACGCCTTCATGAGTTCAGGAACTGTTTCACGTTTGTGTTTGGACAGGTTTTGCAGCTGAGAATGCATCCGACATGGTGGTGAAATAACAACAAGACCTGGTCTGACCTGCCTGATGTATGACATGACCGTTTCACGTTTGTTTTTGCACATCAAATCGTCTCCAAGGGTGATGTCAAATGCTTTTCCGGCAATCAATCCATGTCTTTTAGCAAGGGGTCCAAAACAGTTGGGATTGTAAATCTCGGCCACGGTTCTTAGTTGTTGATGACTAAGCCCCATGACTTCTGCGATTTCGTGCGTCCTTTTTGACCCCCGGGGATGCAGCGTGAACTCGCTACAAATCTCCTGGTTCATATTTCGCATCAGATCAGTGACATTGCTCCCTTGGCCGTCACTTTCGGAAAAGATCAGTTGGATCTGACGCCAAAAAGCTACTGCTTGCTTGAGAGCAGCTCGTATTTTCCTACCCAACTTTTCAGGACAGGGTTTCATCTCGGTCACTTTCGGTCTTTCCACTTCATGAACTCCTTGAACTCCGCGAACTCCTTCTCCAGGGTCGTGCTGCTGCTCGTGGCCTTCTGGTTCGGGAACTCTGCCATGAGTTTGTTGCAGCTGCAACACGTGGTCTTCCTGACAGACCCGTTGCTTCCCCTTCCATGAGTCTTCGGATGAGGACAGGCATCCTGGACGATCTTGGTCAAGATCTCGAAGTCGGTCTTTGGTGGCTCTCCAGGTTGTTGTCGGTGCTTCCAGGTCGTCACATCCTGCAGTGGCTGCACCAAGCACCACTGGAAGAAGCGGCACTGTGTCCCCTGCTCCTTCATGCATCGAAAGAACATCCGATCTGGGTTCTTCGAAGTGTGACTGACGTGAATCTGTGATGGTAGCTGGCACATACACATAGGGCGTGGTCCGACCACCATCTCGATGCCGTAGACCTCGTCGACCATCTTGTCCGCCTTCTCCGCAATCTTTCCCTTGGCTGAGGCCTTCTTGGTCGCAGGTCGGCTTGTCGCTGACGTCGGGCTCGGAGACTTCCAAGTCAGCACTGAGACAGACTCGGTTTCCGTCTCGCTCGAAGAGCTGTCCTCCTCGCTGTTCTTGTTCTCGACGTTGTAGCTCCTGCGGCTGATCTCCTCCATGATGAAGTTGTGGAAGTCCTCGAGGTCCTCGGTCTCCATGTGACGAACTGCTTGACGTAGAAGACGTGGTTGATCTCGACGTCCTCGGAAGACCCGTTCGACCATCAGGTGGAACGGAATGAGGATCTGCAGCAGCTTCCTTGTCATTCTGGACCATGCAGTGAAGGCGACCGGGATCGTGGGTTCGGCTCCTCGGCTGCGTTTGTTGCTGCTGGTCTCCATCATGTTGCTGATCGGCTACTTGACCGGTCTCTGCTATCGTGTCCTGTCTACCTGAAAGCTGAGCTGCGGCGGAACATTGAGGATTCTGCAAACGAAGAATCTCAAATTCTTGGGATTCATGAACTTCTGAAGAATCTTGCCATTCTCTTAGGTGTTTCAGTTGGTCATTTGTGAAGTTCTGCAACGGAATGCGAAGTGCCCCTGTGGGGCCCAAATGGAGTGGTATTTGTTCCCTGCCATCCTGAAAAACGATTGTCAATCCTTTGTCTGAGTCCAAAACGAGATTTCCTTTGCAGTGAAGAAGAAAACTCAGAGATATCAGAAACGGTGCTCCAGAAGAATTGTCTTGTTCAAAAACGGCTGGTTTCAAAAACGATCCCTTCATACCCAATGAACATGGAATATTTGCAACTCGTGTTGTAATAGATGTTTGATGAACGCTTCGAAACTTGTTGATGGACTTGTGCATGGTAATATGAAGTTCGCCAGGAAGCTGGTTACCAAAAAGTCTCAATGTCTGTGCTCCGATGGCCATGCGCTGACATCCAGTGTCCACTGTTGCACATGTGTGGTCAAACGTTTCCTGGGTCCTACCAACATTATTACAGATCCAATTTTCAAGTTCAAAAACACCATAAACATTCCCATGAAAACCTGATACTTGGCCGCTGTCCATGTATGCTCGGCTGTCGCTACCATCCTGGAAAATGTCAAAATCTGTACAAAGCTCTAAGTGACCTACTAGGCTGGTTTCAGCTGCTTCGGTCTTGGTCTCGTGAACCTGATCCCCGATGAAGAAAACTTCATTGGTGTTCTCGAGGTAGTTGGTCTCGCTGGCACGGCTGCTGTCAGATCGGTCCGACTTCGAAGGAGGATTTCGGCACTCCCTTTTCCAGTGTCCGATCATTCCACAGCGAGCGCACCTGGTTCGTCTCTTGAGTGCTGTGATGCTTTCGTCGGTGTTTCGTCGGCGATAGTCTCGAGGTTGGCCTTGGTGGAAATTCCCGGCAGCAGCTCGACCATTGCCATATCCACGTGCCAGCTCTCGGCTCTTTTTGTTCTTGATCGACTCGGTGTAGCTCTTCTTGCGCTGCTGCACAAAAGTAGCTAGGATCTCTGCGGCCTCGGCCTCACTGATGATGTCCTCGTCGTCAACGGGCTTCTGCAAGTCGATGATGTGCGCCTCGAGCTCCTGAATCTCGTCCGCTGGGTCGTACTCATACTCAGAGACCTTGTCCTCGGGCTCGTCCTCGTCCACTGTATAGAGCAACTGTTGGACCTTCTTCTTGTCCTTGTCGGCCCCAAGTTCAGCGGCTGACAGCCGAGTCTCATTTTTCCTCAACCAATTTTTGATTGAGGATGTTTTGATACATCCATGAGTAAAGTTCAAGAGGTTCTTGGTCTCCGTGTCGGTGAGCAAGAGGGCGTTGATCAGCAAAAATCCCTCGTACTCCTCGGGCAACTGGATTGCATGTTGGTGTACTTTTCGTAGGGCGGTATCCCACCTCGAGAAAAATTCTCGCCAGTCCTCACCTTTGAGACGTCGTAGGTGGTAAGTCACCCGGGACATCGCTGTCAACATGTGTTCTTGTTGATCATCTCCATATCTTTCAGGACGGTTCATATCGTCCAAGAGCTTCTCGGCATTGGTTGGGTCCTGAAGCCAGTGATTATCCTTGGCCCAGTGCTTGTAGACCTCGAACGGTGTGAGGCTCAGGGCCTTCAAAATCAAGGGTCCTCTCATTCTCGGTCTAGCCTTGGTTGTAGCTATCCAGAGTCTGGCCTTGATGTTGAAGTCCTCGAAAGGTGTCGTTCCGTCCCAAGACGGCGGTGGGCCTGAGGTGCCTCGGCCCTCATTCCCTTCTTCTTCTTCATCTTCTTCTCTCTCTCTTGTTCTCCTCTGCCCTGCCGGATTCAAACGTCCTTCACGTTCCAGCTGTAGAAACCTCTGGAACCTCGCGAATTGGTCCGATTCACTACCCTGAGCAGTTGGAGGGCTGCGTCTTCCCGGTGAAGCCGCGGGCGAAGTCGCTGGTGGCTCATCCAAGTCCCCATCGGTTGGAACGGCCGGAGTAGCCATCTACCAGGGGGTCAAGTGTCAAGCCTCCAAAGGATCAAAACTCCCCAAAACCCAAAAAGACCTAGGCCCGATCGAATCGGGCTCCGCTACCACTATAAAACTGGGGGAACCGCAACAGGCACAAACAAGCGAAGCTTTGATCCTTTTTCGGCAGACACGTGACCCCCATTTGGATCGTCCTTAGCTTCCAGGCTTGCCTTGAGTCATGTAGCGAGCGAGCAATGAGATTTCACAGATTCAATACGAAAGAACAAGGTTCCTGCAAGGTGGTGCCCCATAGTTAGCTAAGTTGGTTTATAAGTCCCATAACTATGGTTTATGGCAGATATAACTATAGTTAATGGGGTTTATAAACCCACTTATAACTGGGGGGCACCATCCTGTGAGGGGTGTTTATCATTTGAAGGGACGGGATTAAATAGCATATTAGCCAGGTTTCAATTGGTTCAGCTCGCACTGCAAGGCGCTCTTCAACCAATTTCTTTCGTTCTCCTGGCGTGGAAAACGGTGGCATCAACAAGATGGGCTTAACCAATATATCATGATCATGAGATTTAATGGGATATATAACCAAGCATGACAATGATTTTAATGTGCACAATTGGTGGGTATGTTCGAAAATGGGATATAATTAATTGGGATATACCATGATATACCACCCGCTTGCTTATGGCCATGTTCAACAGGGAGAAATATGGTCGAATGATGAAGCATCAACTTCGGGGTGTTCAGCACGATTCCACTCAGCAACCTGGCGGCTGGCGATGCCCCAGATTTGGTAGTTGAGTCCCCTTTTTCTTCGTTGCAACATGTCCCCTGTCATGTCCCCTGTGTTCGTTGGCTTATCATGGCTTACCATCTGGTAAACATACAAAAAACTATGGAAAATCATCATTTTTAATGGGACAACTCACTATAAATGGGCCATTTTCAATAGCTAACTGTTAAATTACCAGAGGATATCAATTCCACCCTGTTGATCCATGGGGGATATATTTAAGAGTAGGATTTTTCCATCAAAAAAACATCCCCATTTCAATGGATTTCCTACCAGGTTGGCTTGGCTGTGACCCCCGAAAATTAAAACTCCACTTCAAATCCCGGCAACTCCCAATCCAAATCGATATAGATGCCTACATCAATAAAACATGCCAGAAACTCTCATCCCCATACAATATCCCATATGCTCCATGTATGGAATCTGAATACCAACATTTACCCCATAAATGACCCAGTCATGTAGGTAAATATACCAGCACCATGGTTCGCATATGGGATACAAAAAATGGGGCTTTCAATGGGGATATCCCAATAGCTGGATGGTTTTTTTTTTGATGGAACATCCTACAGGATGGGGCCCCCCAGTGATGTGAACGTTGGTTTATAAACCATGAATTAATCCCCATTGACTAGCTCGTTATATCTACATTATCTACCATAAACCATTGTTTTTTCAGCCACTTACCCTCTGGTAAACTAACATAACTATGGAAAATCACCATTTTTAATGGGAAAACTCACTATAAATGGCCATTTCCAATAGCTATGTTAAATTACCAGAGGGTATGTTCACCAACGGTTCACGCTATCGCTCGACTGGGGGCCCCATCGATTCCTACGCCATCCTACGGTCGGCGCGGTCGGATCCTGGGCCCTCAGCAGCTTCTGTCGCTCCATCTTCAGCGTGTCGCTGTTCAAGGCCAAGATGGCGCCTTTCGACAGGCCGCTCTCCTGGCGCACAAAGGGGACCGTCCTTTCGAAACCGAAAAAGACCATGGTGATTCGTGGGGAATAGAGAATTGAGATTATTCACATATATATATATATACATGATTATACATAATTATATCATAATTAATTATAGCATATGTATTACATATATAATTACGTATATATATATATGATTTGAACTGATTTGAGATCACCAAATCTGTCACATTCTCTGCTGTTTTATCAGCCGGTGAAATCACTGCGTCCGTCCTTGGAGACCAAGGCTAGCCTGACATCGCCGACCGGAATTCGTCCCCAAGAATGCCATCCTTATTGATGGTTTATGATGCCTAAGTATTGGTTTATGATGGTTAATGCTGGTTAAGAAAATGGTGCGAAAAAAGTCAAAGTCTTGGCTAAGTCTTTAAGCGAATCATGGTATGCATCAGGTTTACGATGGTTTATGATGGTTTTTATGATGGTTTTCATAGTGGTTATGTTTAGTAGAAACATTCGCCAGTTTGCGAACAACAAGTTGGAGTGGTGAGTTGTGCTGATTTTATGATGGTTTTAATCCTAGGAATCCATCCTTAAAATTACTGGAATTCATGATGTCAACATGATGATACCTACCCTCTGGTTATGTCAAAATAGCTATTGAAAATATGGTCCATTTATCGAAATAGTTGATGACTACCCATTTTCATAGCATGGTGGAGCTTTCCAGTTCGTTATGTAACTGTTTACAAAAGGGGGTAAATCCTATTAAATCCCTTTATAGATCCCATTAAACCACCATAAAATCCCATTAGATCCCATGATACCTTGATGTTTAGTTCATAAGTTCATCCCACGTTCATACTATATAAACACCTCCATTCTCTGGTTCCACATGGCAGAGGGATATCCGATCATGTTTACAGGGCCAATCGTCTACGATTGGCTCGAAGATTTTCAACGTTGCCATGTTTGATTCCCAAAGCTAAAACACTTTTTTTTACATATACATCTGGGTAGATTATAATATTTCACTAACCTGAATCTTGCGGCCATAAAAGGGGATGATTTCCAAAAAAAAAACATGATTTCCAGGGCTCGATTTCGTCGAACGACGGGCGAACCGGTTGCCCAGGAACATGAATCAGGATGGAGCTTACAGATCTCTTCACAGATCTTCATCATTTCATGGTGGTTTTTCATGGGAAAACCATAGGAAAACCATAGGAAAATGGAGGTTTACCCTCTGATCATGGTGGTTTTTCATGGTGGTTTAATGGGATAAAAAACCCACAAACATATGGTGATTTCTAGATGGGATGTACCCGGCCTGGTAAACATTCACAGTTTGCGAACTTGAACATGGCCCATTGAAACAGTGGATTTACCCATTGATAGCATGGTGGATCTTTCCATAGTTACGTTAGTTTACTAGAGGGTAGATGCCCTGTAGAAATATCCCAGAAGCTTCAAGATACTAAACTGCCCTTCACCAGTTTGTTTCCACTGGGTTCTTCAGTTCCAATAATTTCTGTTGGTGGTTTCACCATGTTAAACCCACCTATTTGATGGGTTTACACAATCCCCTACATCCATTTTTCATTGCTTTCCGAGCCATCATTGGCTTCCATGGGGCCGCAGACTTTACCAAATCCCATGAAATTTTCATCACATGTTGCTTGGGGGTTCCCATTTACTTCGATGATCCAGCTCGAAACCATAAAAAAAGCACCTAAAAAAAGGAAAACTCAGTTGCCATCTTGAAGCAGTGGATTTTCAGTAAAGCCCAGCAAAATCCCATTCTGTGAATGGTTAATTCAATCACATGTTGCCAGCTTAGGATTCCCCAGACTTGGCCATGTCAAGATATGGCAGTGGGTCAAAACCTTGTACCCCTGTAGTTCACATCAAAATAGCTGGGATTTATGGATGTTCATCCCCCTAAAAATGGTATTTTCATAGGTATTGACTCATAGCCATATGTCATAAATTGATTTATAAATCCCATTAACTATAGTTATTTGCGTACCATAAACCATAGTGAAATTGGAGTTATAAACCGTTCTCATAGCCATATCATCCATTAAAATCCCACTTAGATCCCATCAAAATCCCATCAAAATCCATCAAAATTCATCAAAATCCCATCGCCATGATGGTCAAGCCGCTGTTGCTGGGAACTTTCCTTTTCTCGTCTCTCATCTGCCAGCAAGGCATCGCGAGCCCTGCGGGCCGCCGCCAACCTCGGCGACCGGACCGTGACCGGACCGGTGGATGAAGGGTAAACTGACCATCCATAGCCAGTAGAAAATGGTGATTTAATGTTGGTTTAATGGTGATTTTATGGCATTTTATGGTGGTTTAATGGCTTTTTTAATGGTGTTTTAATGGGATTTAGGGACTTAAGTTGCAGCTGATTTAACCACTCAAACTATGTTTTGATATAAACCGGTCAACATGGTGAATTGAGGCCTGGCCCATGGTCAACATGGCGATTTAACCTTGCAGTTTTTTGAATGCCATGAACATCCATAAGATCCAGAAAAGTTGATTCCCACTGTAGAATCCAATAGTAAATTCCAAATAGATATCCGATTGCTTTCCCCCAAACAAGAACCATCGGTGGATTCAATAAACATAGGTGGATTAACTTCCATTAATATGGTATTGTTTGTACAATATAGATCCCCCTAGATTCCGCTTAAATTCCCTCAAAAACCACATACATCTCCACTAAATCCAATGATATTCCCATGAATTCCCACTAAAAACCCATTGAAAACCCATATCTCGACTATTCCCATGAATTCCCACTAAAAACCCATTAAAAACCCATTGAAAACCCACCTCCAGCCCTCCACATCCAGCTCTTTATTTTCGAAGTTTAGGTACAGATCCCGACGTTTGGCTTCAAAGAAGTCGAAACGGAGCTTCACCAGCCGGGGCGATAAATTCTTCTCCTGGGAAGTGCTGCACTTCGGAAAAGGTGAGGAAACACCATGTTTTTTTATGGCAATCTGGCAATGAACAGCATTCTTTTTACATATCCAACATGTATGTATACAATATATCTATATATAATTAATGTGTATATATATATATATATACGATGATCAACAGTTCAGCACTAATCCAACCTTGGCAGCATCAAACCCAAAACTAGTCTGCGACGCAACGACTCGCGGCGGCGCCTGGAAGGCCTCCAGAGGTTTGAAGATCAACTCCTTCGTAGAGTGGCGTTTTTTCTTTTGACAAACTTTGTTGGGTTTCGGGACATTGATTCGGGGCTAAGTTATAACCCTTAAATATTTCACTCGCCTGATTTTTTGAACAAATAATAGGACTTCTAAGGCCATGACTAGTTGGTGGTTTCAATCCCTCTGAAAAATATTAGTCAGATTGGATCATCATCCCAGCTATTGGGGAACATAAAAAATATTAAAAAATGTTCCAAACTACCAACCAGATGATCATATTTTACTAACCTGACATTTTGGGCCGGGGATGAAAATACCCTTAGATTCACCAGGTTTTTTTTTAGGGCTCGGTCACGTGATTAATTTAATCCGAGATGTAGCAAAGTAGTATATACGCTGTATCCAAGCGTTAACAAAGCAATTGCAACGAGAATTGGACAGAATCTATTTGGGTATGGGTCAAGTCATTAGGTACCCCAATAATTGGATGGTTAATACTAAACTATAGACATTCACATCTGTGGTCCCCTAGGTCTTCCATTTTGACCCACATCTATTTGATATTACTTGACAATTTGACACAGTGACCTTTGGTAAGTTCAAGGCGTTGCCAGTGCCTTCCATCACTCTGTAGCCGACTGGGGTTGTTCATTTCCATCTTTGTCCAGTACAAGGTTTAGACATGTTATAGGCTTGATGGCTACTTGCTGCCAGTACTTGGCCATTCTTGCAGGGAGGGAGTGGTTACACTCTGAATGATTTGGTATTGGTCAATTTGTGGTCAGAAACAAGAACCTCTCGCAACACGAAAAACCTTCGGTTTCATCCTAAAGCCCGCCCAATATCACCATAGATGAGTGGTAAATATCATCCCCATGGTGAGTTTATGGCATTGAACTTACCACACTATATCCACATCTTTGCAAATCGATGGGTTTTTAGTTGCCAGGTAGTCCCACCACCTGATAGCCGGGTCCTGTGGTAGAACCCCTTCCTGCTTGCACGCCTGTAAGGAGCGTGGCGAGCTAATCGATGCACCTGGAAGCATGGTGGTGCTGCTGGATGACCAGTGCGACTTGTGTTTTTTTGGGTTATTGATCATCAATACTCAGTAACTAGATGTAACTAGTATTTGAATTGGTTGATTAAGTTGCTTTTCTTTGATGTTGATATATGTTGATGCTTCATTTAAGCAAGAATAATGGGGTTTAAACGACAAAAACGGGGGAAATCACTGGACACAATAGGATGCCATCTGATTGGTTGTGGTTGTGTATTGGTTCAAGGGAAAATTGAAACTGCAAACCACGGTTCTTACTCAAACCCAGGGGTATCCTGCATTTTTTTCCATTGAACCATTTCTGGGAACGTAACCACTATAGGAAATCACCAGAGATATGACCCAAATGTTGTGATTTCACAGTCTTGGATATTGTGGTGATGAGGGATTTCAAAGGTCAGTATTGAAGTAGCATACCCTCCAGCAATTTACCATAACTATGTAGCATGGCCCTTTTAGTTTTCTCACTTACCTATGAAAATTGTGACTTCACATATGTTTAAAATTTAGCAAATGGACAATCACCAGTTTGAACAGGTATGTAGTCCATCTGTAACTGGGCCAGGTATACCAAAGGATACATCTTCCACGTCATCTAATGACTCATGCCTCGAACACATGAGTTTCTGTGAAAATTTACAGGAACCCCCAAAATCCCATGGTTTATCCATGTTTAACATTGCCTTTTGCATCCTTTTCCGAAACCATTTAAGGGGATACCGAAAAAACGTCGTAGACCTCGTTCACTTTAAACGGCCATCCCCATGGTGCCATCATCTGCTGCCATGCCACGCGGGTTTGCCTCATCGAAATTGGCCAGGGAGGTCATGATGCACAAACTGTGACCGCGCACCTCCTGCCGTTGGCGACCAAAAAAGATCGCCTTCTGCTGCGAGCCGGACCCACGACAAGGCTTGTTTCGGCAAACGGCGCGGCGGAGAAGTTTCGGGGCCCTGCACTTTTTGGGGAAAAGAGGTTGGGATTGAGATTTGTACCCTCTGGTGAACTAACATAGCAATGGAAAATCACCATTTTTCATGGGAAAATCCACTATAAATGGCCATTTTCCATTGCTATGTTAGTTCACCAGAGGGTAGGGGGAAATGGCAGGTAAAATCATGAAAAAAAACAGGTTTTTGAACATGTCCAGGGAAACGGGATGAACTCTAAACCCAAAACGATGGTTGAAACAGGCAATACATTGTTGCGGGACATTCTTGCATGTTTTCTACAACGAATTATCAGTCCGCGACTCAGGGTACTTGTTACCCCTATGCCATCCTATGAATTATATAATGTTTGGTAAAGAGATCTAAAATAGGTATCCCGCTAATCTCGGTATAATTTATAAGCTCCAATAAACCATGTAGGTCGGATTTGTTTTACTATCTCCTATGCTAACCCATCAGCAGGTGTATGTTTGATGGCTCACTTTGATTTATACACGCTGAGCGCTCTCTAGCACCTTCAAGCAGCCATCATCATCACTCAAATTCAGACCTGAGACATAATTTCATAATGAATTCATCAATCAAAATGCAACCTGTCACAGCCACGATGCACATATCATCCAAACATAGATCTACATAGCCTCTGGTAAACTAACAGTTTGCTAACTTGAAAATGGCCATAGAAATAGTGGATTTCCCCATTAATAGCATGGTGATTTTCCATAGTTATGTAACAGTTTACCAGAGGGCAATCATATCCAATCAAATATCCAACAATGGCATCAACGATCCGGAGATGCCGAAACATATATTTTGTGGACTTTTTATTCACCAAATGTATCTATATTTCTACCATCTCCCTTTCACTATATATTATTTACATATAAACATGTTTCTAATATTTCTTGACAAGTAAAATTAATATAGATACAGTACTAATACAGTGTATATATAATTATATATATAGATGGGTCATTCAACCAACCCCTGAATCCTTTCATCCCTGTGCCGCCCTTTTGTTTCCAGCCCTTTGGTCGATCAGGGAAGGATGGCTTTGGCCTGTTCCAGTGCCTCGCGCAGTTGTCTTTCGTCGCGCGAAAAGGCAAGGAGGAGGTAGCAATCTCTGGGTAGCGCAACAAAGGTAGGATCTATATAAAATCAATGAATTTATATATGTATATGATATAGAATTATATATATATATATGTATGTGTGTGTATGGGATAAACATCTATTTGATTCTTGGATATAAATATGTCATACTAATGATTTTTGATCTAGCAAGTCCCCAAAAAGAGAGACCATGTCAAAATTAGCATTATTTGGGTAGGATTTACAACTGTTCGATCCTTTCTGCGGATTGCTATAGTCTATCTTATTCGGTGATGCAGGAAGAGACTCTTGAATGTGTCTACAATGATGGTTTTCCACTGGAAGCTTTGGTTATCCAAACGGCATCTGAGTGAAACACGTATTTTTTTGAAGCGATCAGGGTGGCCCCCATGTCGCATTCTCTGCATTTTTGGGGACTCCTGAGACTTGCTGTCGCCTCTGTGTTCAGAATGTGCTGACATGTGCTGACCGTCCCAAAAATTCTGCGATCAGCATCTCCATGGACGATCCACTGAGGTTTGCGGCTCTTGAAGTTTGTGGGGAACCATGTTTATCATGCCCAGGCTGAGATCCCTATGTTTAAGATCAACTTGTTTCATCCAAGTTTGATGCCTCTACATGCATGGTTGAACCATGTTGAATCCCCATTCTTTTCATGATCAAATCCCGATTTTCACACGTCAATTCCATGTTTTTTGCTAGAATCCCCTGAGATTCCAAGGATTTGAGTGGTCCATGCCTGAAATCCCCCACGGTTTTTCCATGACGTTCCCCCCACCGTTTCCGCCGTTTCGAGTTCAACGGAGTGAGTTTCTGCGCGCAGCACTGCCCGCGCCTGGATCTCGGCTCCGCGCGCGGCTTGCGTGGCCTCAAAGTTCTTCACCACCTTGGACCATGGGGAGATAAATCGATTATTTCAATGGGAATTTCAGGATCCTAAATGAAGGTACTGTACCATATAAGTTGAATTACCTATCAAAAATGTTGATTTTCCATAGTTATGTTGGTTTACCAGAGGGTATATTCAATGGGAATTTCAGGATCCTAAATGAAGGTACTGTACCATATAAGTTGAATTACCTATCAAAAATGTTGATTTTCCATAGTTATGTTGGTTTACCAGAGGGTATATTCAATGGGAATTTCAGGATCCTAAATGAAGGTACTGTACCATATAAGTTGAATTACCTATCAAAAATGTTGATTTTCCATAGTTATGTTGGTTTACCAGAGGGTATATTCAATGGGAATTTCAGGATCCTAAAATGGAGGTACTGTACTGTACTATATAAGACCATATTTTGTGGTGATATTCACTTACATAGGCCTGAACAATAGGCCTTAGATATGGTAGGTACCTCCAATTTAGGATCCTGAAGATCTCCCATTGATAGAAAAGTAGATAGTCATCTGGTTGGATAGGAGATATGGTAGAACATTACTGGTTGGTGGTTTTAACCATCTAACAAAACCCCATTTATAGAATGTATAATCCCATAGAAATAACCAGTTCTAACTAATAATTAATCTGGTTGGTGGTTTCAACCTACTATTGGTTGGTAATATACTGTTAATATATGGTTAATATTAATAGTTATTATATGGTTAATGATGGTTAATAATAATCTGGTTGGTGGTTGACCTACCCCTCTGAAAAATATGAGTTCGTCAGTTGGGATGATGAAATTCCCAATATATGGAAAAATAAAATTCATGTTCCAAACCACCAACCAGATCATGGATTTGCTTAAGGAACCACCAAAAAAAATCACATATTCCCTATAGATTCCCCAAGTAGTGGATTTCCCATGGAGAAAATTAAAAAAATCATCTTCTGCAAATCCATCAAGTAATATCTAAACTCTGGAGGTAATGTGGTTCAATCATCTTTTTTGATAGTTCAATCATCCCAGTTGGCATGTGGTAACCACCATACCGGAAAACGAACCGTTTGCTATGGAAAATAGCTCTATACCATTAAAAGGTCTGTCATAACCATAGGTTAATAGATTACCCATAGTTAATAGATCTTAGTAGATATTTTCATATATGTTCATAAGTTAATAGATGTAGATGTTGATAGAAATCCCATGGCTAATCATCATTTTCCCTTAAAAAATGGCTGTTTGGGAAGTATACCCCATCAGACACACCCATATGGGTATACCGATACCCTCTGGTAAACATACAAACAACGATGGACAATCAACATTTTCAGTGGGTAAATCAACGAACTTTCTATGGCCATTTTCAATAGAAAACTGTTAGCTTACCAGAGGGAAATCCAAACTCTAGAGGCAATATATTGATTTAGACAATCTCAAGAAGGTGTTCAGTGATGTAGCTCTAGCCAAGCAATATAAGTCAATTAGATCAGTACATGCTACCTTGGGATCATGTTTCCAATGGGAATAGATCATCCTAATAATTACTAACAAATCTAATGATTATATACATATTAGAAGGACACTTCAGACAATTAGAGGGGAATTACATCTAAACAATTGGTGGGTTTGATAAATAATCACATTATAGAGTTAGACATTTAAGTTGGTTCACAACTAGGATATCTGGGATTGATGGCAGGTATAGGGTTATAGGATTTGATTGGATTGGATTAGATTGGATTTGATTAGATAAATAGATAAGAAATGGGATACTATCATAAATATAAATATGTATCATCAAACGCATGGCTGCATGGCTGATACGGAACCAGCAAGAGATAGGCTAATACTTGAAATCCAAGAATAACCAGGGACTTATACAATGGCTCAATGAAAAAACAGCTGCACAACCCGTTTGGGCAACTGCTCCGAAGGTCAAACGATTTTGCAACTCGGTAAACTGGTAAACCCCAAACTCTGTGAACCAACTCCATTCGCAGGATGACATACATGGAAAACCATGGAAAACCACCAAGGCCCGGGCAAAGTCGCAGGACTTGTGCAAAGCAGATTTCGTCTCTGCCAGACTTTCCAATTCATCCTTTCAACACCGCGGGGCAGCTGAACGGTCAACTACACGCCACACAACTCAACATCGGCCCCTGATGCACTGCAACGTGCTTGCTACACCTATGAGTCCTATGAGATCGGAGATGGAACACCCAAAAATGAACTGACATGGCTTTGGGGAAATGACGCAGGCTAGCCAGCAGACTTGTCCATATCATATGTATCCACATATGCCCTCATCTCATATATCTCATATGTATGTACATACTATAGAGATCATGAATCATCATGAAATTGATTTATTCAAGGGGCTGTGATTACAGTCGCCAACCACCTACAAACTTCCGCAGCTTAGTAGTCAGCAGCCAAAACTGGGCTATGTCGCAGCCGACGGGCCAGATCTGTCCAAAGTCATCTTGTCATCTTGTGGTTCTGTTCTCACTGGAATGCAAACTGGTTGATGGATGATAGTTCACAATTGAATGCCAGTTGGAATTCGACCATTTCGCGGTTGTACCAGGTTCTAGCCCTTAAACTTTTATATAATATAATATAATATAATATATATAATATAATATATATAATATATAATATATATAATATATAATATATATAATATATAATATATATATAATGTACTTATCATTCGGAGCGGTGGCTGGCTTTTTTACATCATGACGTTGTGCCAGTGGCCCTGTGATCGGATCTGGATGGTTGACCGACCAAGGCAGGGGATTCCAATGGATATCATGGAAGCCTTGAGATTCATTGACGGTCACAAGTGGATGGTTGAGCCACCTACTATTGCTTGGTAATATACTGTTCATATTAATGGTTAATATTAATAGTTATGATGATGGTTTTCATGATGGTTAATAATAATCTGGTTGGTGGTATACCTATCCCTCTGAAAAATATGAGTTCGTCAATGGGAAGGATGACATCCCATGTATGAAATGGACAATAAATCTAAATGTTCCAAACCACCAACCAGTTATGCAGTCTCATGAACTCAACTTGATTCGATAACAAGCCAATAATGTTATGGTTCTTAGTGCCTTGAGATGCTCATAGGTTTCTTTATTGGTTCGCGCGATGACTACCCTCAACTAAACATTGCTGATTGGGGCTTATTATGAAGCCTTACGAAGGCTTCGTAAGCAACAATCAATGAACATGATCCCAAATGTGTGTAACTTATATCGCTCATCTGTTTTTTTTTGCCGGGGCTTCTCAGAGGGTTTGCCCCAACAGCCAGTCCAGCAGGTGCTCATCTGTGGGGGGATACATCCATCAATGACACATAATGTCAACCCTGAATTAATAAACCCCAAAGGGTTGTTTAATTGGGGGGATACCATTTAAGTATCAGATTATGACTATTGGGGGAATACCCCCCTAATTAATAAACCATGGTTTAGCAAAATCCGGGGCTGACATTATCTCCCGTAGCGATCGCTGTGCGCCTCAGTGAGACCCATCCTGCGTTTCGCTTCGGCCCTTGGATGACCAGGCTGCGCCGGCCGATGCTGAAAAGTTCATGGCTTGTGGGCACACAGCGAAGTTCTTGGTTTAACCGTTTAACCCATTCATCATGAAATCATTAATTAAATTAATATATTTACTCGAACAACAACAACACTTAGGATTTATTATTAATCATTCATACCAATATCTAGTATGACAATCAAACTTCTTAAACCACATTGAATGGATAGGTCGTTCGAATGAATTATATATGTCTCATAGTTGGTGAAAATGTATGACAAGCAAATGACCTAATTATTCACCAAACCAATACTTACCCTGGAACCAACTCAAAATCAAAACAAACAATGATACACATTGCATATGCAAGGTAGGTTTCACAACGGAAGATGCAAGGTCATTTAGGGATATTTAGGGACGATTCCCATGTCAACGATCATCTATGCAGATCTATGCAAATGTCCTTTTGGTAAAAACAGCTTTGGGTCGGGAGCTGGTTAATCTCATCTATCATCATATTTACCTGTTGCTTCTCAGGGGTAAACCTGAAGAAGCCCCTCTTTTTTCAACCAACCAATGGGAAATTGGGACATCGGCAGTGGTGATGGGATTTCTGGCACTCCATATTTTTCCCTCCAACGTTCAGGTGGAACCCGGAACCGGGACCATGGGAAGTGAACGGCTGCCAGCCATTTTTTGATGGCCAGAAACACAAAATGGGAAGTTGTGTGAAAATACGGATCATCAACTGATAAACATTGATAAACTATAAATGGTTACCAATCATCCGTATACCAGTTTATCATCCTGTAATAAAGGGTCACCATAGTAACCCCCATAAACAGCTTGGCGGGGCCAACCATGGGGTTACCACCAAACTCGTCCGACTCGCTGCGTCTTTTCGTCCATTTCTGGTGGATCCTTGGATTGTTTTGTATTGCCTTGATGACTATCTGGAGATCGAACATATTCCTGGAAATATATGGGTACGATACTAACCATATTTCCAATATGGTAATGGAAATATATAGAAATATATGGAAATATATGGACATATGGATACTCTATCCTATCAGTGACGTTCTTATTTTTGGAGGAACCAATTTCATGAATGCCACCTCTACTAATTGGTGGTTTCAACTTCAACCCCTCTGAAAAATGATGGAGTTCGTCAGATTGGATCATCATCCCAACTCTTGGGGACAATAAAAAATAATTGGAAGGATGATCCCAACTATTGGGGACAATAAAATTATATGTTCCAAACCACCAAGCAGTGTAGAATCATGAATGCCTTTTGGGAGGCGACTGCAGGTTCTGCACTGTGACAAAATATCAAGGAACCAGGAGACCAACATGCGATGCTCCACCCATTGTCGGTGGATCTATCCTTGTATCCCATTTAAACACCTAGGCTACCCTTCTGTAAGCTAACAGTTCGATGTGGAAAACCTACCATTTGTAGATCATTCTCTTAGGGAAACCATGGGTTTTCCACATCTATGTTATTAGTTATATCAAAGTTATATCTACCCTCTGGTAAACTAACATAACTATTTTAATGGGTAAATCCACTATAAATGGCCATTTTCAATAGCTAACCGTTAGTTTACCAGAGGGTAAGCCCCAATTTTTGACCATCAAATTCCCAGGTCTCAACGTGATGTTGCGTGCAGGTGGCACGTCGCTTTCAAGGTTGGCCTTCACGATGGATTTCTTGCCAATGTCCTGGCAAAACAAACTGACACCAGTGTCACCAGTGTCAGTTTTTAAGGCATGTTGCAATACAAAATTCTACTGCTCTATGCATGACTTAAATGCTACCATACGTTAAATAGCATGTTCATCAACCGTTGGTTAGCGCATGTTATTTGAGATGGTTTAACCATACTGTGGATGGGCCAGCGAAATCCTGCACCACCAAGAGGATGGTTAAAACATGTTAAAACCCTATAAATAGTGGGATGTTTACCACCTATCAACTGGTGATTCGGATTTCCTCCATCCACAGTACTTGTGTTGCAACCATGGTTACATCAGTAAAAAATCCATGGTTACGTCATCCCAACTGCACTCCAGACGACGGAGAGGTCCAACTGATGCAACTCGCAACTTGAGATGGACTGTCATCATTGGATTGGTTTAAGGGAAAATCTTAACCGGAAACCATGGTTTTTACCACTAAATATGGAGGTTTCCTGTAAATTTTCCCTTAAACCAATCCAATGATGTCAGAATCGATTTAGAGGTACCTACCATTTTTCCATCTTTTTCCAAGGCCCATTTTGGTCCCATTTTGTAGGGCTAAATGTCAGGGAAGATCCACTGATCAGGGAAGATCCTCCTCTCCAGATGTCTAATATGACACTCGGAAAACCATCCAACAAGTATAAGTAGAACTATATGATTTACCTCGAAACATTGGTACGTCCAAGGCAGGGCAAAGTGTCTATACAACTCACTGGAGAGTACATCATGCTGAATCCCGACCTTGATGGGTAAGTCCTTATTTTCCTTGTTCAACTCCCCATTGTTGATTCAATCTCACTTTTTGGTGATGAACCTCCCCATTTGTGTCTTGAATTCTTATCCCTAGATCTATCGTATCCATGTTTTTCCTCTAAGTATTGTCCTATCTACTCATAGCTACACATGAAAAAAACGGCATTATTATATACCGTATATATATATATTCATCATATATATGTATATATATATACACCATATACATATCATTAGCTCGTATAATTTTACACAACCCCATGGTTGCTCAAAAACATCCCCACGGCCGGTCGCCTTGGTGGTGCTGCTGAGTTCTTCCTCGATCTCCCCCGACAGCTTCTCGAAGGCTTCACGGGAGTCCTGGACAGCGGAACCCGAAAAATGGCCGAAGACATGAGAAATCAACAGCTATGGATAAAGGATTTATACAATATTCATGTTGTATATCTATCTATCTATCCTATTCTATCCTATTCTATCATATCCTATCCTATCCCATCCTATCTATCCTATCTATCCTATCTATCCTATCTATCCTATCTATCCTATCTATCCTATCTATCCTATCTATCCTATCTATCTGTCTATCTCATCTATCTGGTCTATCTGTCTATCTGTCTCTCTGTCTATCTGTCTATCTGTCTGTCTCTCTGTCTCTCTGTCTATCTGTCTATCTGTCTCTCTGTCTCTCTGTCTATCTGTCTATCTGTCTATCTGTCCATCTGTCTATCTGTCTGTCTGTCTATCTGTCTAGCAGTCTAGCTATCTAACTATCTAGCTATCTAGCTATCTATCTACCTATCTATCCATCTATCCATCTATCCAATCTAATCTAATCTAAATCTATCTATCTATCTATTCTATATATGTTACATGCATGATCATGCATGTACATTTGTGTGTGTTATAGCTCAAAATTATATAACATGTACATGCACTTGCTTTTTTGTGCTTGTGAAAAACTATAGTCCTGTACACAAGTATTATTCACATAGACGAGTCTTTGTTTGATTGCTCTGTTTATCGCATCTGCTGTCTAGCTTTCCAGGCAGCCATCTGGCCTTTATCCATCCTGGCCTTTTCCAGGGCCAGGATGACTGGTTCGATCACAGCAGGATTCGGGTACATGTCACAATCTGGTTGGTGGTTGAGCCACCTACTATTGGTTGGTAATATACTGTTAATATTAATGGTTAATAATAATCTGGTTGGTGGTTGACCTACCCCTCTGAAAAATGATGGAGTTCGTCAGTTGGGATGATGAAATTCCCAATATATGATATGGAAAAATAAAATCATGTTCCAAAACACCAACCAGCAATTCTTGACCGAGTAAATTGGATGGTCCAGTACGGAACCACAAGAGACAAACTTCAACATGGTCCATTGGAGTGGTATCTCTCCCATTTGAAAATGGAGTGCCTCCCAGTATTGTAAAAGCTCGTAGCCGTGAATTTCCTGATTCTTGTTGATAATGGTATAATGGTATTAGTATCTCAACAACCATAGCTATCTAACAATAATATGGTTAATGATGGTTAATAATAATCTCTTCTAATCTCTCTAGGACTTGGTAAACTGCTGCATCTCTAATTTCACCCCACTCTTTTTAAGGTGAACTATGGTGGAGCCAAGAGCTGCAAGAAAACCATAGACTTCATGGGGGAGGGGAGTAACATGTAGCCCTATATGTGTATATGTTTATTCATGGGTCCTTTACCCCCCACGAGACCCCCCCCTGCGCACACAGGTTGGGAAAAGATTGGCTATTTGAGACTGGTTTTCGCAAGGTCGGTTTAAACAAGGAGCCGAAACATCATTCGCACATAAGATTCCATTGTTTTTCTTCCGTATTCTATTGCGGCTCACTGAAGCCCCCACTGCGACCTTACTAAGGCCTTACTAAGCCATTGCTGCGTGTTACTGAAACTCCTGAGACGTTTTTTCTTAGACGATTCTGTTCCTCTTTTCCGCCTTGACCACCTTTCGCAAACAAATAAGGTCTTACTAAGGAGTCCAGGGTACTTAGTAAGCATTCCTGACCTGGTTAATCCTAAGGTGTAAAGGCTGCTAAGGCCTTACTAAGTAGGTAGTAGCTGCTTAGCATATATGCTAGGGGGGGTCTAGGGGCGGGAGGCTAGTTTTTTTTTTTTAAATATGCATTGAATATAATTGGATAAATAAAGAAATACACAATAAATAAATATATAATAATAACAACAATAGTAATATATAATTAGCTGTATATATATATATAAAAATCATTATCAAATTCTATGCATGTGACAATGTAAGTGAAATCTTTGGATCATTTTTTGTCCATCGTCCCGGCGTCCTGATCCGCTGCTAGGGCTTCTTCCCCCAAGCGCATGGCGTTCTTGCGGCACTGTTTCAGCATTTCCATAACCTCAGGGCCAAGGCTGGTGGCCGGTGTCCGGTGGGCAACACGGCTTTCCAACACAGGCTTGGCCCACTGCCAGTTGGCAGCTTGCCAACATTTTGGACAACACAAGATACCCTCTGGTAATTTAACATAGCTATTGAACATGGCCATTTATAGTGGATTTACCCATCAAAAATGGTGATTTTCCATAGCTATGTTAGTTTACCAGAGGGTATGTTGGTCATTGTTGGTCTCTTCATTCAATTCCCGAGCTAATCCCTGTAGCAACTAACAGTAGTTTTGACAAAAGAACACATACAAAAAAGGTACCAATGATGCTGATGTGGTATCTCCATGACTTTACGCGCCCAGCAAGTAGGATTTGCTGGACATGTGGTTTCAGCCCATTTTTTTGCGCAGCAGTTTGGAAAATGTGGTTGTTCTTCATCCAATTGTTCTGGAATGGTTTTAAACCATTGGCCGTAAATTACGTCTGAACTACATCTGCCATGTCAGGATTTAGACCGTCTGTCCCTTGGAATCCCTGGTTTGTATTCTTCATTTTGGAACCCTTTCAAAAGGCAAGGCGTCTTTATTGATCTCACTGCACATATATACAGTACCATCTGGTTATTCAACATAGCCATGGAAAATCCCTTATAAATGGAGGTATTAATGGGAAAATCATCTATAAATGGGCCATTTTCCATGGCTATGTTGCATTAAATAACCAGATGTCATTAAAAATCATGGAAATCCATGGAAATCTAGCTGTACCGCAAGGTCAAAACCTCAACAGCAAGGCCTTGGCAATTCATCCTGGGTCGTCCCCAACTGCGTCTGTGTAAAGCGAGCTCCAATTGATATCGGATGGACCTATCATGTCAAACTCACCAAATTGGGATGTGACAAAATGGCGATAAATGGCGCAGCCCCATATAGAGCCCCCATATATTTTTTTGATCGCCAACCTTAGTTCCCCCTTCAAAGGTTCAAATATCAAGATCTGTGCACCTTTCATGAGGCAACATGATGCAAGCCTGATATTTTGGGCTGCCCTGGTGCCTGGTGCCAAAAGAACGCCCAACGTTTCAACCAGATTCAGCAGATTCGATCCCAAGGTCAATTTTTATCGTCCACACACCCACATGACTTGTAAGTAACTATCCTCTGGTAAACTAACATAGCTATTGAAAATGGCCATTCATAGAGGATTTTCCCATTAAAAATGGTGATTTTCCATAGTTATGTTAGTTTACCAGAGGGTAAGTAACTAAGTCATTAAGTATACTCAGCATTTTTGTACGGGATCTTGAATATGTGCGCATCGAAAACATATCATATTGGAGTTTCCTGCAATGAGGGGATTTTTAAGGTCATTCAACCATGGATTCAACCCAAATAACCAAATCAAAAACGGCAAAAAATGGAAATCATCCGTATAAATCCAAAAAGGGTCCCTGATTTTGAAACACAATGGATGCTCCCGCAGCGCCGGATGCTGGATCTTATTTCGGGAAACATCCCGATCCCCTCTGTTTTTTTTTCGAAACGAAAGGAGCCTTGCCGAAAAGGGCACTACATTGGAACCACATATGATTGCAAGTTAGTTTTGAAGGCTGGGATAATGTTGAATATGAATAATGTCAACCCTGGATTAATAAACCCCTAGGCTGTTTAATTGGGGGGGTGCCATTTAAGCATCAGATTATCACTCTTTGGGGAATACCCCCCTAGTTAATAAACAATGGTTTATTAATCCGGGGCTGACATTAATTGAGAAATGTTTGCGCCTTGTTCTTGTTCTTGTTTTTGTTCTAACTATTAACTTACATCAAACAAATGGAACATGTCTTGGGACAACATATTCAACGTCCTCAAAGATGGTAATGTTTAATTTGCATGTCGAATGGAAGTTTCCTAAAATAGGGGTACCCCCATATCATCCATTTTAATAGGATTTTCCATTATAAACTATCTACATATTTGGGGGTACCACCATTTATGGAAACCTCCAAATGGTCAAGTCTCGTGTTTTGCCCATATTTCTTTGGGAAGACCCAAGCGTTCCGTTTTGAGATCCGCCGGAAAATCTGTTGTTTTGCAACTCCTTGTCCAAACAAACGCTGATCCAGCCGCCTATAGCCGATAACTGTCTGTTTGCTGTTAAACACCCAACTCTTTGTGGTAAATATCTCAAAACCGCTCTGTTTCTTAGTTTAACTCACCAAAATTACCCAATCGCTCATCCCAAGCGATGCTGTAGCTGCCGCTGACGGCAATGAAAATAACAACATATACTTCTCCATAAAGTTGTTAAAGCTTACCCATACCGTGGTTGACTTGTCACCTCATTGTGCCTCCTGCATCTGTGAAGTGCAGAAGACACAGCCGTACTCCCATGGTCCCTATCTTCAAAACCTGGTACTATAATGTACAAAGCTCGGCTCCCGGGCTGCAAAGCCAGGCACGGTTTGCCGCGTGCTGCGCGCCTGCAAAAGATCGGAGCTGTCGAATGAAATGTAACATGAGGCAAAATGGGACATGCCTAGGCTTGGATACCTGGGAGGAGAAAAAAAATGCAAAAACGCGTTCATTTTCTGGCGAATATGGCAAACTCCTCCGCTGGTTGCTCAAACCAATTGGCCATTGACCTTCGAAACCATACAAACATATAGACACATTGATCCACTGTTTAGCGGCTGATGTCCTCCCAAAAAAAGCTAGTCGAGTGGGAATCCTTGTTCCATATTCGTGGATGTACAGTATCACACACATTAGCATCAAAGCCACTGACACACAATTAAAGCTCTCTTTCCACACCAATTTGCCCGGACATGTTTCAACTGTTTGGCTTCTGGAGGGGTCTATTCCTTGCCGCAATCTGGATTGAGCTGAACTTGTGGACATGATGGTTTTCCGCGTGATGCGCGTGCTGCCCCCCATCGTCGAAGTTGTGGTGTTGAATCTCAAGGCTCTTCTGGATGTGGAAGTTTGGACGATTGTGAGGGGGCCACCAAACAATTGAATAGTAGCTGGTTGGTGGTTTTGACCATCTTGAAAATATTAGTCAGTTGGGATGATTATTCCCAATATATGGAAAACTAAAAAATGTTCCAAACCACCAACCAGGAATAGTAGGTTCGGAGTGATTACCTTCCCCAACTCTGGATCTGATTTTTGATGATTTTTGGAATCCTCCGGGAACCTAAGGATGTTTTCCTGCAACTTAACCATGGCTACTTAAAGCTCCCATGGTTGTTCCCACTGCTCATGAGATTTGAATTTAGGAAAAAGTTACCCCGTTCCATGTCATGGGTCCCATGGGTCCTGCAACATGTCAAAACATGTCATGCTTTTTTCCACATTTAGATCGACATCAAATCCACGATATCTCTGTGTGTTCCCCATCGTTCCATGTCCCTGCAGTCGTTGAAAACATGACGCCGTCAACTCGTTGGATGCCAAAGGATGGCACCATCCATGGGTGGCACGGTACAAGATGCTACAAGTACCATCCGGATGCGCATGGATTGACTGAAGGGAGAATGCGCCATCATTTCAGCCGCTCCAGAGTACTTGCTGGAAAATGTGCTCTGCGACACAAGTTGGAGCAAAGCTTGATTTTGCTTCAAAGGTTAGATACATGTTTTTTTCATTCTGCAGCTGTTGAAGGTCTATCTTCGTGCTGACATGCAACTGTACAAGGTTAGATGCATGCTGCATGGCTGTAAAAACATAGAAGACCCCTATCATCCCCCAATTAACATGGACCCTGCCATCAGTTGGGGGTTGAAGGCGATGAGTTTCCGTTAAAGCTGTGCGAATTTCAGGGTTAGCGCCTGCACCAATGACACGCCCTCATAGATCTTCTCCAACACAGTCTGTGCCTGCCGTGGGGGGGACAGTGGCCATATCTGGCCACAAAAAAATATGGATTGAAACTGGCAGGCATGGGAAATTGAGCACCCAACAAATGGCGAGTTCAATCAACAGAATGGGGGAAAAACGAGTGAGTGGAATAGATGAATAGATTACATCAAATCAAATTGGCGAACGGTGCAGGTTTAACATACAAAACACAAAAATATTTCGGTAATTACGGGTAAAAACTTTAGATCCTCCATGTGAATTCCATCTTTTGTCAGGGCCAGCAAACAAACAGAAAGTCCAACAAAAAGCACAACGGCTTGGCAAAACTCCGTTCAGCCTGCTAAGACTCAATAGTCCACTTTACGGATCTTTTTAATGGGAAAAGCCAAGCAATTCGTAGATCGACAACATCCATATCCGCCATAGCCCTTGGTTCATCGGTGTGACGAACACACCTCCACCAGGATCTTCTGCGTCATGCGCTGGTCTGCGGCCATGCTGACGAACTCGCCTCCGACTCCAAAATCAGCAAAATCATCGCAGGGATTTGGATTACCCTCTGGTAAATTAACATAATATTGAAAATGACCATTGATAGTGGATTTTCCCATTGAAAATGGTGATTTTCTATAGTTATGTTAGTTTACCAGAGGGTAGGATGTGTTTATTGATAGTTATCCACCATAATAATCGTTACCATCTGGTTATGACTAACAGTTTGCCATGGAGAATCACCATGCTATTAATAGGTAAGCCATCTATAAATGGGCCATTTTCCATGGCTATGTTAAATAACCAGAGGGTACATTTCTTTATCCACCATGGATAGTTTCACCAGCAATTATATAATATTAGCGAACTAATTAAGAAAGACGTGTTTCTGGTAGAGATATCTACGATTATCTACGGTTTGGATTAGGTTCTAAACTTCTAAACCAACTCATAACTGACTGGGGTGCGCAACCTTTTAGCTGAAGGGGGAAATGCGCCCATTTATGTCATTAGGTACATGGACCACTATAGGGCGGGGTAGGCTGCTGGCAATGGTTTTCTGATGTGTGCCATACATCGACCAACAATGATCAACAACCCAAAAAAAACATGGTTTAACGTCCTGTAGCCAGCAAAGCACTGGGGTATTCATTGGTCTTCGCTGATAGTCATTATTTCAGCTCCAAAAATACCTCTCAAAGTCAGAAAGTCATCTAAACTCAACTTTTTTGGAGGCCACCTCCCCACTTGTTGTATCTAAATCCTCAATAGCTCAATGGCTCTAAAAAAATGCAATTCCTCCAAGGTATCTGAGCTCAAGACTGTTCTCCTTGGCCCTGGTCTCAGTGGCTGCCTGAGACATAGCGATCATGCCATGTCTCGGGTCTCAGAATCCAATGGGAATCTGGACCCCTACACCATGTGTATATTTAGGCTTAGTTCAATGGATTGGTTTAAGGGAAAATCTACAGGAAACCATGGTTTTTACCATCAAATATAGGGGTTTCCTGTAAATTTTCCCATCATCCAGTTCTATGATTAGTACATGTATAAACTTCATATGACTACTTCTTATGAACCTGGGTTGACATAAAATGAGCATAGCTTACCAACAGCAAGGTGTTCAAGACCAGAATGGAACAACCCGCTGTTAGCAAAGCTGGTGGATAACTAATTCCTTGGAACCCCGTAGCCCACAGATGCCCACAGCACTCGGAAGAGATCTCTGTGCCTTTTTCTGCTCTTCTAAATCCTTCACCTCTCCTTTCCTTATCGGGGCTGGGTCAGCCACTGGACGTAAATGGACGAGAAGGCAGGGAAGCAAACAGCACACGTGGGGATTTCACCAACGGAAATTATAAATTCGAAGGTATGTCAGCAGGTAGCAGCCAGTTGTTGTGGTTTTTTTTCTCCTTCATACTGGGGAAATTCCATATATCATATATATATATATATATCTGGGTAAATGATAATATTTCACTAACCTGAATCTTGCGGCCATTTGGGGATGATTCCTCTATAAAAACCATGATTCCCAGGGCTCGGTCGCGACGTGAGGTCGTGATGAAATTTATCCATATATATATATTATACATATAACCGGCTTCTAACATGGGACACAAAAAAACAGGATGCCGAACGTAACAAAGCCCTAAAAAAACAGCCATATTACGATGTATCCCCTATAATTCCTGGTTCTAAACCAACCTACAATGTGGGCCCCCCCAGTGATGTTTGTTGGTTTATAAACCCCATTAACTATAGTTATAAGTACCATAAACCATAGTTACTGGAGTAATAAACCAACTTAGCTATCTTGGGGGCCCCACATTGTACCTATCACTCATCTGTCACATCTAAAAATCCCAGGTCTTCTTGATGAAATCTGAGGTTTTTTCTATCGAAGTTTGTTGCATCAAATCCCAATCTGGTTGGTGGTTGACCTACCCCTCTGAAAAATGATGGAGTCGGTCAGTTGGGATTATTATATATTCCCAATATGGAAAGTCATAAAATTCCATGGTTCCAGTCACCACCAACCAGATATAGTTATATTATGTAACATCCATTATTATTATCCATTATTAACCATTATTAACCACTATTAATGGGATGACAACTTCTTCCCAGGTTCAATTTGGAGATCTCCGACTCCACTGCTGCAATCTCCTGCTTCCATTCACCTTGGGCACCACAAGGCCAATCACCAGGGCTGGACCCATGGAAGAGGCCAATCAATGGATTGCTTAAAGGGAAAATCTCAAGGCAAGGCAACTATGGTTTCACATGGCTTTACATGGTTTTACATGTCCAAAAATGGTGTTTTTAATGCTGTTTCATCATCCAAAAATCAGTTTCCCGTAGGTTCAGGAACCCTGATGCAACTGAATTTCTGGTGAAACTGGCCTCCAGCAGTCTGAATCATACACCGAAAACCATGGTGGGTGCAGGGGGATTTGAAGAAGTAGGTCTCCGGACCAATTTGACCTTTGCTCATCTCTTGCTGTTGTGTCTTCTCATCTGTGGATGCAGTGTTGTCTTCAAAGTCCTGGCAGAGATCATTCCGAAGCCTGTTGAAACGAGATCCAAATTTGGGGCACCACAGGCATATAACTAAATCGACTAACATAATGCCCAAATGGCCTTACTTAGCTGCATATCTTTTGTTTGGGGCTTAATTGGTATGCTTTTGGTAGGCTATCACATTGTTTTTTGAGATGGCTGCGGACATTTTACACTGGGATAGCGAGGGGAGCAACAAACATAAATCATGCTCAGAGACGACACCATCCATTTTGACTATTGCCAGATTCATTTCTATTTTGGGTGATACACCATGAATATTATATGTATATTTCAGGATCCATCATTTTCTGAGCTATTTCAGGCTATTTCTATATGTCCTACGTGTCTCGCTGGCGTTTGTGCTAGTAGCTGCTGTCGCTATCCCACATCTTGCTTCTAGACTTAAATCCTAACCCATCCGATCATCCACGATACCCAAAAATCAAAACTCGCTGGGCATCATATATTCCGCCCGTCATGGCAAAAGATATCAACAAATGATGTTGTATTGAACTACACTTCACCAGTTGCTTTTCACCTATTTTTTGATGGTTGAATCCACAAGTCTTGATGGTCAAGTTCTTACTGTATTGGTTCTTGAATGAACGTTTAAGTTCCCGTACCCAACCGACCGCGGTGACCCAGCCTTGTTGCATGCTTCGTTCTTCTCAACCTCATCCTTTTGCTCTTGATTTAAGGCGCGCATCATGCCCTGGCAGTTGAGGAATTTTCACCAACAAAAACGGGAGATAAGCGAAGAACATTGGGATTTACACGAAAAAACAATGTAATGGGAAGATACAAGAAGATACAAGAAGATACAAGAAAATACAAAAAACACAAGAAAACACAAGAACATACAACACCAACACCAACACCACCACCACCACCACCAACAACAACAACAACAACAACAACAAAAAACCAAACATGTAAACTCACAAAAAAGGCTTTGAAATTGCGTGGAACATCTCCCCTTACCAGGACCCTTGCGTTCATTGAGTTTAGCTACCGCCCCATCTTGCCAGCCGAAACGAAACGACCACTTCGACCTCGATCGCTTCCTTCACCTTGTCGAAACTGCCCGCTTTCAATCGCAAGCTCAAAGAGACCAATTCCTGACCAAAGGAGACATGGACATGTCAAACCTTTGGTCATCTTATGTCATATGCGGAAGGCGTGCAAGGGTGATCGAAACACATTTAAACATTGCTCGCAACACATATCTGGCCAACATGTATATATTGCACATATAACACTTGGATTGTATATAATTATGAATGAGTTTCCTTCAAATGACCCATCTTTGGGTCTTTGGGTTCCAAACCAAAAGCAAGGCCAAGCTAGGTTTCATGAATTCAATCAGCGAAAGTTTGCATCAAACCCACCGTGAAGTAGGACAATCGCCATGCTAAACAAAAACTGTGGTCATTTCTGCGATATAAGAAAAAACTGTCAGCCAAGAAAAGGGCGTGAATTTGACAGCAGCAGCTGCTTTCCCCACCGAGAGAAGGAAAAACAAATCTATCTTTGTATGTAGGAATTGAACTCAGCAGCTCCCCATGAACGTAAGGGCTCAAGAGCCCAGGGATTGCTAAACCCCTGGTTGGTTCAAACATGTTGTCACTTCTTGGGCGGTTCCCCAAAAAATTGTTTGGCTGTGGTTAATTATTCGGGACCGACACTGACTCATGATTGTGGGTCTATATAAATCTAATATCATCCATTTCTTGCTGCTTCCCAGTTATATATATATATAAAAGAATTGGATTGTATATCTGATATGTAAAAACCAAGATATCCCAATTGGTTATATTAAATAAATCTAATATATTGGTTATATTAAATAAATCTAATATTGGTTATATTGGTTATTTAAAAATCTAATGTATAACCAATTGTATATCTAATATATATACCCTCTGGTAAGCTAACATAACTATGGAAAATCACCATTTTAGATGGGTAAATCAACTATTTCGACTGGGCCATTTTCAAAAGCAAACTGTTAGATTATGAGTATTGGAGGAGTACCTCCCTAATTAATAAACCATGGTGTATTAATCCGGGGTTGACATTACACTTCAAAAAATGGGCCGGGTGGTTTCAAAATGCTATATGAGAGAACTCTATATATCTCTGGGGTGCTTCAACTATTAGTACACTTTAGAACACTTAAAATGGGGTGGTTCATATCTACTCTAATATGTTCCCCATCTTTTCTGGTAAAATCCCCAGGGATTTTCCGAGGCGCCTGTTTTCCGAGGCGTCGCCCTGTTGCCGCCAGCGCGGCGGCCGCGGCGGCCGCGGCAGCGCTGGAAGGCGTGGAGGCGAGTTGCAGGAAGGACCTGCCGGTGCCCCATTTTTGTTAGGTCAATGGGTTTAGAAGTAGATAATATATATATATATATCTATATGTGTATATATATATATGTATATGTGTGTATATAAATTTATTGATGTATATATATATATATGTGTATATATATATATATATGTGTGTATATATGTATGTATATATATAATAATATATATACAGTTAACGGTTAACATTTTTCTTGTGCATTTTTTGTTAGTGTCGGCTTAGGCAGCATCGTAGTTAATGAATGTCAATGTACAGTTACAAGCATGGTGTTTATAAACCAACCAACAACGAATGAATGAAGTGTTTTATTATTGGGGGTAGCTAAGAAGAAGGGATTTAATCTTGGGGTTACCACTTACAAAAAAAGATCTTTAGGAATTGAGCACACATTGCAATTCAACATGTTTCAATTCAACAATCATTCGATTGGAAAATACGGCGCAGCTGTATCAGCAAATCAAAATCAGGCTTCGTAGCGGATATTCGGGCTCCTGGGGGTCCGTTTGCTTCATGATGTTCTTGCTGCTGTTTTTCCGGTGAAGATCAAAGACCTTTGGCTTGGTTCTTCTGCCATTCAAATTGCGGCTATTTCTTGAACCAATTTGCAGAACCGTTTGCTTTGAACAGTGTGTTTGTTTGGAAAGCGGCCAGCGTGTATCCAAAGATATCATTTTGCCAAAGTGTCATTTTGCCAAAATATCATTTTGCCAAATGCCACAAAATCATGTTGCCAAAGTATTGTTTTGCCAAAATATCATTTGGCCAAAATATCGTGATGCCAAAATATCAAAGCTGAATTTTGCCAAATATCAGTTTGCCACAATTTGTTTGCAAAATGATAGGCCGAAAAGATCGCAACATAACAATCCGGGTCGTCCCCAAACCCCACATTTTGCACAATCTCTAGGGGTGATGGTTCCACTGGAACCGTCGTCCCCTGTGATAGCTACTACTAGCTACCCATTCATTTTCCAAATATCAATCTTAGCCTGGGGTGATGGTTCCACTGGAACCATCGTCCTTTTCTAGCTTTGGACAGCTCTTTATTTAGTTTGTGGGGTCTTTTTGGAGATCCACTGACTGAAGCTGACGCTTAGCCCACTTACAGGGGATGATGGTTCCGGTGGAACCATCGTCCTTGAGAAGTGACTTGGTGGAACCCACGAAGGATGATCCTGAGATGCAAAGGGATACTAATAATTTCAATGTATCAACCAATGCAGGCTTCAGCCCCAGGAAATGTGCGATAAACGTTTGGCATCACCATATTTTGGCAAACAATACTTTGGCAAAATGATATTAATATGTTGGCAAAATGGTGCTTTGGCAAAATGATATTTTGGCAACATGATTTTGTGGCAAAATGGTGCTTTGGCAAAATGATATTTTGGCAACATGATTTTGTGGCAAAACAATACTTTGGCAAAATGATATGTTGGCAAAATGATGCTTTGGCAAAATGATATTTTGGCAAAATGACACTTTGGCAAAATGATATCTTTGGATACACGCTGGCCGCTTTCCAAACAAACACACTGTTCAAAGCAAACGGTTCTGCAAATTGGTTCAAGAAACAGCCGCAATTTGAATGGCAGAAGAACCAAGCCAAAGGTCTTTGATCTTCACCGGAAAAACAGCAGCAAGAACATCGTGAAGCAAACGGACCCCCAGGAGCCCGAATATCTGCTACGAAGCCTGGTTTTGATTTGCTGATACAGCTGCGCCGTATTGTTCGCTGCGCCAAGGGTGGTGCAAGATTGGGTTGCGTTTTATCATCACGGGTGCCGGGACGCCGGGACGCCGCCGTGCATGAACATGCTTTGAAGTCATGCGCTGCCCATACGGGTTTTCCATGTAAAGACCGTTCAGCCAAGCTTGAACTTGAGATTTTTGGTCATGAAAACCATGTCAGTTGATCTTTCTTTCTATCGGCTTATGTTGCGTGATAAGTGTCATTGTTCGCAAGTGTTGTGGTTTGAGGCTGGCAGTACCAATTGCAAACAAGCCAACACCATCCAAGTATTCGAATCGTAGCGCATACACACAGTACCAACGCAATATAACCCAAAAAACGTCAATTTGATTGAACATTACATTTACATTGTGCAACTTTGTTCAGCCTTTCAAACAGTAGAATGCAAAATCCAGAACACGACTTTGTTGCAAATTTCAAGGGAAAAATGCATGCAGTTGCTTTGCTGCTGAGTCAAACCGAACTTAACACCTGAATGTAATGAGACAACACCTGAATGCTAGGAGAATGACTTTATTAAAGATGGTGATTCTCTCCATGGCTATGCTAGTTTACCAAAGGGTAAACCATCCACTAATAATGGGATTTAATGAGCTTTGCTATGAAAAATCCACTGGTAATCCGCTGGTAATCCACTGGTTACTAACCAATTACTATATAGATCTGGGTAAATTAAAATATTTCACTAACCTGAATTAAGGCCATTTGGGGATGATTCCTCTTATTAATCACAGATAGATCTATATGGTGGGATAATCCTCCAAGTAGAATCTCATGACTCCCATGACTGGGTCTCCCAGCGTGGATTTCTTCTCGCCCAAAGTCTTGGCCTTTTCGCTGCTCAGCACCTGCCATGGCTGAGCTGAGGGACAAGACATGAGACCGGAAGTGCCTGGCAAACCTGGTCAGATTTTTCTCATCTAGCCTGGTAGCAAGTTACAAAATCATGTATCTATTTTAAGTTTCAGAATGATTTTTGTTTACATAAATATGTGATGCGTTGCTTCAACATCCCCATTGCTGTGGATGGTGTTCCAAATTTTGTATCTTAAACCCTCCTTTCTGTTGCTTGATAAGTCCTTCTCTCCCGCTGGATGTGTTCTCAATTTCGCTGGGCTTAAACTTCAGTTTTTCATGTGAAGTCATGTTACATCCATACTTACTGGTTGGTGGTTTCAACCCCTCTGAAAAATGTCAGTCAATGGGAAGGATTATCCCATATATTATGGAAAATAAAAGCCATGTTTGAAACCACCAACCAGCATAATGTTGATGAATTTTGCTGGTTAAATCATGTTACATCAATTAATTTTGCTGCTTCAGTCCACATGTTTATCATCAAGTCCCACATCTTTTGCGGTGCGAAAGACATCAGCCTGGCCTCAACGGCTTGTCCAACAGCCGTGAGCTCCTGGGAGCTGCTTCACACTGCACACCAGTCATGATGGTTATACCGTATGATTCTTGTGGACAAAGATGGTTAACGATGTTCGAAAACAGAATATATAGTACACATATGGGATATAAAAGGACAAAACATGATAAAAACCCATCTGATTGAATGTTCATGGATTGGTTAAAAAGGCAAATCTACATGAAAGCATGGTTTGTATCATAAAATAAAGGGTTTCCAGTTCGATTTTTCCATCATCCAATTCTTGGGCATATCAATATGTAAAACATATTGGTTGAATATAGTTGAATATTCGTGCATATTATGGGCAAACAATTAGGTACTTCCTAGCTTGGAAACAGCATGAAAGCCATGCTGGGGAGTATTCAAATCAAACTTGTCATCATTTCTGGTGAGATTGTTCTGAGGTCACTAGCCATGATCATTCTACAGACCGGAGGGGCTAAGGAAACAATACTTATACTTCACAGGGACCCCTGAAATGGCAGGGGCTGTTTCCTGATGAAACTCACTGGACCATCTTTTTTTTGTCCCGCGTGAGGTCAGGACTACTAGGCGGTGGAGGCAGGGGTGTCAAGGCTAAACAAGCCACGACCACAACAGCTTGCCATTTTTAAAGCACAGGCTGTCCATGCAGTCCCACAAAGAAGGGTCAAAGAGCCATAGGCTCTCTGTATGTCTGTACAGCTTGACAGCTAGCCAAAACCCTCACGAGATCTCATCAGCTAAGACTGTCCAAAATAGTCGATGGAGAATCCGTTCGGCACGTCAAAATGACCGAATTGAAATGATCTTCATCAACAACTTTTAATTAAGTGTATAGCGGCTAGTGTAGCGCCCGGCCTGCAAAGTGGTGCTCCACTATGTTCTCTGGACCCTCTGTTACACGGCCGGCGGCGAAGACCCACATCTTCCAGCGGCCATAGCCAAAGAGACTTTCACTGGGATAGGACAAGAAGTGCGCCTCTGGGGGATGACGTCGGACTTCGACTTCGTTCTCCACTGTGTGAGGACTTGTCATTTCCAGAAACTCGTGGACCGCATCGCTGAAGACGCCGGGGCCCGTCAACTCCAAGGTGCTCTCGATCTTCCAGGTGTAGCGTTGCCGGACCAACTCCAAACAGCGAAGGAGCACCGGATTTCCGGGAGCCGATGCAATGAACCATTGCTGAAACTGCTCGGTGCGGGCAAGCTTCATCTGAGTTCGCTGCCATTCAGGCAAGCGATGATCAAATTCATAGCCAGCGATCATGTTGGTTGCCTCTGGGAGCTTGTACTGATCGATCGGCTTGTTACATGAGACATCCACATTGGCATAGTAGCCACCCTGGTCCCACAGGACGAGGTAGCGGAAGACATCGGCGCGCTGAAGGGGTTGCAACCCGTCCCAAATGGGCCAAATGACCTTGGGCGAGGCCTTCTGCGCCAACTCGGCAATCTCAGTGTCATTCCAAAGTTTGTACTGACACTTCGGATTCTTGTCTTTCCAAGTTTGTGCCCACTTCGCTTCTTGCTCCTTGAGGGTATGCGTCTTGGAGGTTTGGTGGATGACACAAGGAATAGCTTTGCTTCCCCGGTTCTCCACTGCATGCTTGAAGTCAAGGCGACTCATCATACCACTGGCGCTTCGAAGATCGGTTTGCAACATTGCGTTGCACTCCTCCGCCACTGCTGTACTGCAGGCGGCGGAAAAGGTGAGGGAAAGGAAACGCATTGGAGACATTGTGAGAGAACGGTTGGTGCACAGCGAATCTGGATCAAGAATTTGCTTTGATCCAAAACCCACTCATCGAGTCTGGTAGGTCGCACACACTCACATGTATACAGTATACATATGCATAGGTACGCATTTAACATATATATATATACACACGCATTTACATATAAATGTCTATGTGTGTCCTAGGTCCTATGTCTGTTGCTTCAAATCCCTATGTTTGCAGCACATCTATGAGCTTCAACGTGAAAACCACACAAATGCAATTTCCAGAACCATGAAAAATTGGAGTATCTTCCCATCTCTTCCCATCCAACAAGGGTATGTATATGTTAGATATTAATTCACCCATTCTCTACACTTCTTTTTTCATCCCACTTAGCACGTGTTTTATTACCCCAGTAAGTGGATTAAATTTATCCCATTTACATTTACCCTCTGGTTATTTAACATAGCCATGGAAAATGGCCCATTTATAGATGGTTTACCTATTAAAAATGGTGATTTGCCATGGCTATGTTAAATAACCAGATGATCAGATGGTATTCCATAATCTATTATAAGCTTATACCCCACGAAGTGGGATGAGCCACCAAGTATCATCCGTCCTCGTTGCGAGCCGCCGAGCGTCCCGCAAAGCCCTGCGCGAAAAACGCTCGCATCGTAAGTGGGCCCGTTTGATGAATGGCTTAGCGGCTTAATATATCCCCAAAGTTCATCTAATTGATGGTATACCTACCCCCCTGAAAAATATGAAAGTCAGATTTCTTATTTTTGGAGGAACCAATTTCATGAATGCCACCTCTACTAATTGGTGGTATACCTATTACCTACCCCTCTGAAAAATGATGGAGTTCGTCAGAATGGATCATCATCCCAACTATTGGGTAAAATAAAAAATGTTCCAAACCACCAACCAGTCATAGTTTGAAAGCCCCATCGTTCTCCTTTTTTCATGAAAAGTAAAAGATGTAAAAGTATACTTGCCGCGAATCCTGTTACCCTCCTGCAAACTAACACACAGGTGGAAAAACCAACATTAATCTAGATGATTTTCCAAATTGGTTTTCCCATGGATTTTCGACATCTTTTTTGTTAGTTTGGACCAGGGTAAGTTCCCCCCATTGTTATAAGTTGCTTACGGAGGGTTTGCTAGGGATCTACCAACATTTCATTCCAAAGAAGCGCTTTGTGTGTTCAAGAGAAGGTATAGAACGCTTCTTGCGTTTTTCCTTCAATAGTGCCGAAAAAACGTTTCTTTCAAGATTACATACCTACCATCACCGCAGTGAAAACTTGATGCGATTCTGAAACCTCCTGATTGATCGTCAAAGCTTGGTGAAAAATATAAAAAACTGGTGAAAACTTGGTGAACACCTGGTGAATTTCCAAAACCTGCTGCAAGCTTGAAGAAGACCGTGGTGAATTTCCAATGCCTCGTAAATCTCCAAACTCGGTGAAAACCTCAAAAAAAAACAAAGAAGCGTTTCACACTTCACACCTCCAAAATTCACCCAAAAAAACGTTCTTCCGTTTTTTTCTGTGAAATTGATGCGTTTTACGGTGAAATTTGGTTGAATTTGGTGAACTTTGAAAACCTGGTGAAAACCTGATGAATTTCCAAAAACCTGGTGAAAACTTGGTGAATGTCAAGAAGCGTTTTGCGCACGCTTCTTGGATTCTTGTAAAACGCTTGTTGCATTCTAAAATTAACAAATCCCATATGCTCCATGTGTGGAATATTTACCAACATTTACCCTATAAATGGCCCAAATGTAGGTAAATATACTATACATGGAGCATATTGGAATACGCAACTTAACATCCGTCATATTTTGGCCTTATCTTAAGTATGTTTTTGGATTTGCCTCAATCGATTCCCCAGCCATGTTTCTGGATTTCCGGAAGTTTTTTTCAACCGAATCATTGAGTCAGCAAATTCAACAGAATTAAGTCATAATGCCATGAATATTCCATGATCATCATAAAGGGTATAGCAAATTATTTATAGCAACTATTTCTATGGGTCATTCTCAATCGCAATGTTAGTTTACCGGAGGGTATCCCATTCATATCCCATAGATAGTCCCGTTCACATTCACAATCTTCCCATTATTTCCTATTATTTCCATGAAGATTCGCATTTCTAGTTGATTTTCCCATTCACTTCCCATTAATATCCGATATTCCCATGAATATCCTATTATATTCCCATTAATATCATAAATTCCATCATATTTTCCATCAAATCCCTTTTTTTCCATAGATATCCCATTCATATCCCATGATATACATCCCACTCATCTCCCAATATTCCATTTCATTTCGGTATTTTCCATATCTCATTCATATCCCATTTCCCATAGATATCCAATTCATATTCCATGGAAATCCTCTTTTTTCCATAGATTTCCCATGGACATCCCAGTGAATCTCTCCAAAAAAACCTCCGCGGACCTCCTGGGCTTTGGCACACTTCGCCTGGGCTGTGCTCAGGAACTCCTCCGCCTCTGCCTGAAATCTCCGGATGTTGAAAACGATTTCTACAGGAGAAATACGTTGTATATTAATAAATATGGTGAAGAATGATGTTGATAAATATGGTTAGTCTTATTTAGTATTCACATTTGTCATTTAACATTAATAGTTAGTGGCTAATGAATTAATATACCATTAATAATATCCTGGAGAGTCATTCTCCTGGAAAAAATCAGGAGTTTCCGCTTTTCCAATGATTTCAGGAGTTTCAGGTGTTTCATGTCAATTTGACAGTGCAACACTGCCAAGTGGGGCCATCCCCAAACCCTGAGAATCTGAAAATGTTAGCTCTCCCTCATTGTGGGCTTTGCGGGTTTTTGCGGGTTTTTGCGGGAGTTTTGCAGAAAATTGCGGGAATTTTGCGGGTTATTTCCAACGTTTTCGGGGGCAGCTTTCACTTTGTTCAACTCAACCCTCAGACCTTAAAATACACCCTGGACATCCAATTGCCTTTCCAAAAACAAGCAGTTGTAGGAGTTTAAGATGTTTGACGTCAAAGTCCATCGTTTTCAAAGAAAAGCAGGTCAACACCGAGAACTCAGGGCTTTTTTTCCCAGGATTTTGAATCTCCAGGATGGTGAATGATGTTGATAAATATGGTTAGTATTAACATTTAACATTTAACATGACCCTCCAGTAAATTAACATAGACCCTGCCAGATAGGGGTTGGAAGACTAGTTTCAACTATAAATTGGTCATTTTCAGGGTCTATGTTAATTTAACATTATATATATAATGGTTAATGAATCATATGGTTAATGGTTTGTTATTTCTTGTGGCTAAGCATATCAATTCATCATTCACCATTCTGAAAACCATTCTTCACTGAAATCTCGAGGATTTGGCTGATATCTCTTGATGGTCAATGATTTACGGTTCACTGTTAAGAATAGTTACCATCTGGTTATTTAACATAGCCATGGAAAATCACCATTTTTAATAGGTAAACCCAGGTAAACCATCTATAAATGGGCCATTTTCCATGGCTATGTTAAATAACCAGAGGGTAAATGGGATAATGGTTAGTGATGGTTATTGACAATGGTTATTCATGGTCAATGGGGTGGAAAATCACTCTTTTGTATAGCTCATATGATTCATTTTGGCTTATAGTTACCCTCCTGTAAACTGTTCCACAAATGTGGAAAACCCACCATGAATCTAGATCTCTGCAAGGAAAAGCATGGGTTTTCCACATCTATGTTAGTTCACCCTAGGTAATATGTAAAATATATTGTTAATATTATAGTTGTCTATAGTTGTCATATATACAGTATCCAAAAATGACCAACAGCAGTATAGAAAAAAACTTGGGTGTGATTCCCTGAGTCCTAGACACCATTCCAGAGACGTCGCCCGAAACGGTCAAGGGATCACTTAGAGCACCATGGGATCACTTAGAGCACCAAAAAGTGGATCACTTAGAGCACCAGAGAATGAGACCTTTAGGGTTTGACTTGGGGACACGGGGCTGGGACATGGGGCGTCCCAAGCGATCCACTTTCCGGCGCTCCAAGCGAACCCCCGACCGCCAGAAAGGCCAGAAACACGCTCACTGGTTATATTCGCAATTTTCCTGGCTAGGCAGGGTTTTGATATGTTATCATTCAAGATAGTTCATGCCCCCCTTATTTACCCAACGAAACAGGGATCTCTCTAAACACATTCTGGCATAAAGCAAAGCAGCTGGGCATTCCAGTACCAAACAAGGCAAGTGAACCAACAAAACGTGGGGGTTCAAGCAAGACGCAACAACCAATGCAACACAAGTGTTGTTTCCATCTCCATTGGTGCCATGAAAAAAAACCTACACAATCTGAAGGAAAACCAAGTGAAAAAAATTCTGGAAAAACGCCAGCAATAAGAACAAGGATGATAAGGTTGCAGGCAATAAAAACAATCCTAGAATTTGGACACCACGATTCCGCACAAACTTTGCGCTTGAACAAATATTGGCTTTCAAGAAATTGAAGAATGTGGACCACAAAAAAAAACATCAATGTGGCTAAAACAATGATAAACCATCCCCCAGTCATCACCATTTTTATACTGGTTGGTGGTTTTAACCATCTGGAAAAATATTAGTCAATGGGAAGGATTAATTATCCCATATATGAAATGGAAAATAAAATTCACGTTCCAAACCACCAACCAGTATAGGTGGTATTTCCACCATTCTCAGGAAGTCATGGGTAGTAAAAATGACATTGTTTTTTAAGCACATTACATATAAACATCCCAGTAAAATCACCATGTTTGTTGGTTAAATCCCACTAAACCATCATTTTTCATAGCCAAATCCCATTAAACCATCATTTTTCATAGTTAAATCCCATAGTTACGCACAATTTCCACCACTTGGATAGGGATTTTGTGATTTTTTTCGACGACGCCAGGCCAGATTTGGCGAAGTTTGGGGATCTGTTTCGTTCGAACGTTCCCGCTGCATGTTTGAGCGGAAAAACTGAGCCGTAAAAAAAAAAAACGTATTACCCTATGGTAAATTAACAGTTGGACCCTGAAAATCACCAATTTTTAATGGAAACTAGTCTTCCAACCCCGATGACTGCCAGGGTCTATGTTAATTTACCAGAGGGTATATCATATATATGATACCACCATAAATCACCATAAATCACCATAAATCATCATGTTTATGCCCGTAATTGCCGGATACGAAGCCACATAAACATACATAAATCATCATATTATGTCATAAACCCACATAAATCCATATAAATCCACATTACACAACAAAAAACACCCAGAATCGCCTTGGAAGTGGTCGCGCTGCTGATGTCTTCCTTTCCAGAGATGACCTGCTGTGGGGGTTCACTGCCACAGCGTAAAAAGTGGCATAGGCAAGACCTCAGACATGGATATGAGATATGGTAGAACAATGTAGAACATTAATTAATCTGGATGAGTAGTTCTACCAAGGCTTCAGTGGATTTTGGAGTTGTTCTACCTTATCATCTAATTGGTGGTTGACCTACCCCTGAAAAATATGAGTTCGTCAGATTGGATCATCATCCCAACTATTGGGGAACATAAAATTCATGTTCCAAACCACCAACCAGTTATCATGTTTTATCAGAAAATGGCTGACACATGGATAAACGTGGTTTATCACAACTCCAAAAACCACTGGATTCCACTAAAAAAAACAGGGTGGTATTCCAACCAATTTTGGGGACCTTCGACATCGTTGGCATGGTCATGAAATAATGGCCCAATGGTGATATTGGTCAATACACTCAGATGTTGCGGCTCTAAGTGCAGCTTCATCAGCTCTTCTTTTCAGCCAACGCAGCCAGTAGAGAAGTTCCATTGATGATGCGGGCATGTGTGAGCAAAGTATAGCTTCAGACCGACCCACAAAAGAACCATCATACCGGGGAAGACATACGTCGTCAAACCACAGCAAACGTGCCAACCACTTTGTTTCAGTCTCAACGCCACATCGCATAACCTCCTGAAAGCTGAAAGCAAAGCAGCACTGATACTAACAAGCAGTTTGAAGCGTGCAGAAGGACTGAGATCATCAAACAAGATGCTATAGAGACTCACCTGCAAATAGAGCTGGGCAAGGTTCTCGAACACAACTTTGAACAGGAGCATGGAATATTTCCTATCTCTCAACCTCAAAAGAAAAATGCTAAAGGTATCTTCCACTCGAAAACTGGGTTCACTCATCCCCCGACATTTGCTGATTGCAGCATCTGATATCTTGTCAGACAGCATTGCCACAGCACCGAAACATGCCGTATCCGCCGACAAGGCCGTCCGCGACGCTTGGTTTCTTTCCAGGATGAGCTCCGGGGGCCACCGGGATGCGACGGGAAACTCCTTCTGTTGATCCCAAAGGGTGAAATCTGGCAGGTCGTTGTTTGAGTAGCAAAACGGCACGAGAGCACTTTGCTGCGCTGCCATAGACAAGATCAAAACTAGGACGACTACACCACAGAAGTGAAGCATGCGGATGATGGGGGCACAAACCCATCCCCAGGAGTGGTCAAATGCCGCCGCCCATGCGGCTGTGATATCCGGTTCACACATGTAGGCTTGCACAGGAAATGCCCCATCTGTGAACCAGTCGAGGTGTTCTAACACCCCCATGCCATATTCAAAGAGCAGCGCTGGACCCCAGTCGATTCCAAACTTCCTGATGATCTGATACTCCACTATCTTTGAACGCAGGAGGAAGGGAAGGTACAAAATGTAGAGCCATGTCGGTGGTCCGCTGATGCAAGTGGTCCATGGAGCAGAAACCAACGGCAACAATGCCACCAACAGCATCAGCCGAGCTTCCATTCGCACTTGCCGGCCAATTTGATCCCAGTCCATTTCTGCTGCAACAGATTGTTGTCCAAAACCTAAGCTGATTAAGCTGCAGTCTGGTGATGAACATGTTTCTGAGCTGGCCAAGTCAGAATCTTTCAACAAACCATGCCCTTCCGAATCGCTGGAAGTTTCACCCATCAATTCAATGTTCAGCTCAGAGAGAGCCAATCGCATGAACTGTGCGCACCGTTCACAGAGGCAGCACGCAAAAAACATGGTGCAAAGTATCGCGAGCATCACGCTCTCCCAGGTCCATGCCGGGCCACTGGCTGTCTCCATGGCCACGTGGCGAGCCGGTGGGATATCCCTTTGTAAAAATGATAGGCTTGTTGATTCAGTTGGGTCAACTGGTCAGTCAAATTCCTGACTAGGTGACTACGAATTCGCCCTGTTGCTGCTTCTTGAGGGATTCCTTTTCTTGGTGACCCAAACCATCAGTACGCCATGAACATATATGAAAATCAAGAACTTGTGCCACAAAGAGCTTTGTTTCTTTCGAATTAAAACTATACGAGGCAAATGGGCTGATCGGCATATTTTCCTGCCCTTAACCTGCGTTCTGCCAAACTCGACTTTACCCTCTTTGGGGCAGCTCCAGCCAAAATGGAGCTTACTGGTGCTTTCGGTAAGAATGACCTGGGGTAAAATATGAAACTATAAGTTGGAAGTCTACAAGTGGGGCCCATGTCGGAGCCAAGTGGATTGGGTCAGAACCGCATACTTGTACGGATCTGGCTTAAGCCAGCAACATGACAAACTTCACACACACACACACACACACACACCTGAAATTTCCTATGAACCCTTAACATACCTCAACAAAGACGGCTTTGGAATTTGTTTCCGGTACATTTCAGTATCCCCCTTCCTGCCCGAAAAACCAGGGGTGCTAAAAATTGGAGGTACCCATCATACCCCACTCCGTGTCCAAAAAGTCACCCCAAAATTGTAGATGGGACGTGTTGGGTTTAACCATCACATGAAACGGGGATTTTGGGGCCAACAAAAACTAACAAACTCGAATTTGTGAAAGGGCACATCTATGGTGAAAATATCATAGGTACGTAATCCTGAAAAATGGGGCGCATTTTTTGTGTCTCAAGATCGTCGGAAGTGAGCATCCAATCAGGCTCTCAGGCTCGAAAAACAATCCCCAAACAGCCATGTTGTGGCAGCAAAAAAGGAACGAAGAGATGTTTTGATTTCCGATAATCGTGCCACGGCACTACAGCCTGAAACAACTCCATCAAACCTGATCCCAAGCCAATCTCTCGGGTCTCAAAATCCCCTCTGGTAAACTATATAACAGTTTGCTATTGAAAATGGCCATTTATAGTTGATTTAAATGATTTAACCGACCATTAATAGCATGGTGATTTTCCATAGTTTTTTGTATGTTTACCAGTAGTACCGCACAAGGCGGTGGCGGAAGTTTCAAAAATAGGAAACCTATAGGAGAAGTTGGTTGTTGTGAATCAGGGATGGCAAAGCGAATCCACTGATGGATTGAAAGGTGCTTGATCTCTCTCACTCTTTCTCTCTCTTTCTCTGCCTATCTACCTATCTACCTACCTACCTACCTACTTACCTACCTACCTACCTACCTATCTATCTTCTATCTATCTATCTATCTATCTATCTATCTATCTATCTATCTATCTCTCTTTCTGTCTATCTATCTATCTCTCTATCTAACTATCTATCTCTCTATCTCTCTATCTCTCTATCTATCTATCTATCTATCTATCTATCTATCTATCTATCTATCTATCTATCTATCTATCTATCTATCTATCTATCTATCTATCTATCTATCTATCTATCTATCTATCTCTCTATCTCCTATCTATCGATCTATTGTAGTTGTAGTTGTTGTGGTTGGTTGTTGTGGTTGGTGTTGTTGTTGTTGTTGTCGAGGTTAGGGTAGTTAAGTTAGTGAAGTTAGTTAAGTTAGTCAAGTTAGTTAAGTTAATCAGTGTCTACTTTTCGACATCTTCACGTCAAAAAAGGCTCAAAACCCTCAGTTTTTTACACTTTTGACTTCGAAATGTGCTTCGCGCCACAACGGCGTGCACTTTTTCGACACTTTTTCCACATCGGAACCTCCAAAAGTGGTCCGAGACCGTCAGTTTTTTACACTTTTGACTTGGAAATGTGCTTCGCGCCACAACAGCGTGCACTTTTTCGACACTTTTTCCACATCGGAACCTCCAAAAGTGGTCCGAGACCGTCAGTTTTTTACACTTTTGACTTGGAAATGTGCTTCGCGCCACAACGGCGTGCACTTTTTCGACATCGCAACTTCCAAAAGTCGTCCGACACTGAGTGTTTTCTACATTTTGACTTGGAAATGTGCTTCGCGCCACAACGGCGTGCAATTTTTCATCGCTCCTGTGGCCAGCTGGCTCCGCACCCGCCGCTTTAGCGAGCCTACTTTTCGACCCTCCGGAGCCTCAAATCATTGGAAAAACACAGTGTTTCGCGACTTTCCTACCTTTTCGCGCATCTGCATCTTCTTTCTTCTGACTCTTTCTCTTCTACTCTTCTCTCTTCTAATCTTTCTCTTCTCTCTGCCTCTGCCCTACTCTGCTTTTCATCTGTCCATATTGTCGGAAGTTTGACTTCTAAACTTCCTTCGACCAAGAAGGGTAAACTTCAAAAGTTCTGTGCTTCATGAATCGAACTCAGCCGGGCCTTCTGCTTGGCATCTGCCTTTTGCTGTTCCTGCCAAAGTGCCCGCGGATACCAAGTTCCTGGGGCCATATCCCAACTTCTGCTGATATCCATAAGCACCCCCGCATACAAATAAACTGTTTTACGTTTGGTTGAATATTAAGATACATATGCATGGTTTAATCATGCTTAATCCCTTAGTTATGAGATATCCCGAATTAATCAAACCACTATGGTCGGTTATATGCAGCTACCACCCGCCTTGCTCGTGACTTGCTCCTTGCCTGCCGTCACCTCGCGGAAAATCCAGAGATTACCGAGATGATAACGCACACTTGACTGGTATAGATTGTGGGTATATGTGGTTACCTGATATATGAATTCATGTAAGTAATGTAGTTAGCCCAATGGCATTCGCAGCATCCCCAGCCAATATCACCATTTTGATGGGCATATGATGTTTTTACAGATTGTGGGCACATGTATACATGTTTATAAATGTATATAGTATGCAAGATGTATGTAACCGACAGATATGGGCTTGATGGTGGAGCTCCAGCACGAGGGAAGTTGGACTAATGGCACCTGAAGATCTATGGCCCTATGTCAATAAATCCTAAGTGCAACTTGTATAATCTATAATCATTATAGGGCTATAATGTTTATAATGTTTATAATGTTTAATGTTTATAATCTATGTACATTATAAACAGAACAAATCGGGTACTAGCATGCGGCTGGACAATGATGCAAGTTCTAGGATTCTAAGCCAGAAAAAACCATGTGATAACATCAGGAATCAGAAACTTACAAAACAGGATCATTTCACGCTTTTGCTGCTTTCCATCCGCATTAAATACTCATGTTTGCCGCTTAGGCCAACATGCATTGCTGGTCAGAAACTGTTAAAACCACGATTTTTTCTGCTTCATCTATATGTTCATCACTTTGCAACTAAAAACCAATCATTTTTTGCTGATTCCTCAGCATTTTTGCATGTGAACTTATGTGAACCCCACATTTTGTAGTGCACGCCTTCCTTTTTAGCACTGGACCTGCTCCCCATTCACTCGCCTCCTTGCCCTTGGCAGCGACCAAGGCCTGCCGTCGCGCATTCACCAAATCCGATCGAGTGCGTTTCCAGCAGAAAAAATGGGAGTTTCCATAGTCGTGGGGGTACCCCAAAATCGATGGTTTATTTCATGGAAAATCCGGAAAATCCGGAAAATGCCATGAATTTATGGATGATTTGGAGGTAGCCTTTGCATGGCGGGTCACGCCTTGTAGCTTTTTTCCAGCTTGGCATCTTCATCTTGTTCCTCCTGAAAGAAACAGGCTGTGACCCATCGAGTAGAAGCATCAAGATTCAAATATGGTTACTCTCTGGTAAACACACTAACATAGCTATGGAAAGTCACTTAAAGTCACTACGTATTTTCAATCGGCATGTACCATAGCTATGGCTATGTTTACTGACAGGTGGTATAGCCTTACCACATGGCATCCCTGCAACCAGAAAATACCCCCCTCCTTCAGATCAGTGCTGAAGTCGTCTGCCATGGCCTGCAACGCCGACCCTGAACCCTAGGAAAACCGGGAAGATAAGTCGAAAACCATTCAGCAGCCACAAAGTCTTCTTTAAGGGAGGGTTGCAATAATAATTAGTAATCATTACTAACATGTTAATTAGCTTGATTTAGTGTTCTTTATTACTTGACTCTTCCCAACTTGGAGCCAGTCATCATTTGAAGCAACGAAAACCAGCAGATCGTTGTCCTCGCTGGCACAAGTGCATGGTGCTACATGCCCCTTGGCGGTTTGCGAGGTGCAAATGTTGCAAAGAAATTACAAACCAAAAAGAGGTACTGTGGATGGAAGAAATCCTGCACCAGTTGATAGATGGTTTATCCCATTATAATCCCATTGTTTACAGTGTTTCATGGCTACCGAATGGTTACTCTGCCTGGTGCGGGATTTCTTCCATCCACCGTATGTGTTACATCAACAACATGAAGTGATCAATGGTGTCCCTGAAGCTGAGAAGTTAGGAATCACCTTTGCAAGTCAGGGTGACCGCTGCAATTAAGTGATGACTGGGGGTTTGTTCAAACTTAAACCGGCATACATTTTGAGTGTATGTGTTGAATCAGGAGTTCCAAACGTCTGACTTCAACATGTTGACATTTCAAAACACATGCCAGAATTGGGGGTTACAATAACCCATTCTAAGACACAGCCAAATATTATATTGCCTATTTGATATGCCACATTAAACTCCACTAAAATCTATTTAAATCCAACAACATCTCAAAAAATCCATCATCATTCATTAACTTCCATCAAACATCCACTAAGAATGTCTCAAAATCCATCAACATCCATTAAAATCATGTAAATGGCGATGATGTACTCATCAAAATCCCTGAATCTTCCGACGGGTCTTCCAGGGTCATCGTTAAACCGGCCTGCAACATGCCCGCGACTGTCTCAGCGGGGCCGGCCACCTGTGGAGATACAATGGATTTGTCATCTGAATGTATTGGGCATATACATATACATATCATTATATACATATGTATATATATATATAATAGACCAGAAAAGAATAGAAACATGTTTTAGCACCGTAGAATTTACTGTTCTGTCTTTTGAGTTGCTACATATTTATAGCTGTGTAGTGTGTATATATATATATACATACTTGGATATTTATGATGGTGCCATGATCAAAGCATAGTACATATGTCTATAATATATATATATATATATATCAAATAGGAGTCAAGAAATGCGGAAATTAATGATTCGAATGGGGAGTACTCAAAAACTATCAACGGATAACGGGATATCCATATGGGGATATAGAAAGATTGGATTCGGAAAACTATCGATGGAACAATCCCTGATTTGTTTCTATATTTAGGCAGTTCATACAGCTAAAGTGACAATTTTTCTTTCAAATGGAACCTCACGCAAAATATCAAAGAAAAACATGAGTCATTGTAAACTAACAGTTTGCTATGGCATAGGTGGCCCATAAAAATAGATGGTTTACCTATTAAAAATGGTGATTTTCTATCATCCATGCAGTTGGGAAACCCAATTCGTAGCTGGATTGCCGTTCCGCGCCGAACCGCCTTGGCCTTCCCCTGTAGGAAACCGGTGC